AGTTCTATCAAGTTTCATGGAAAAACAGGCAAATTGAGATGACACTTAATAGAAAAAAAATGCTACTGATTGATGTACATATCACATTGATTGTCAGAGAATCCAGATAGAAGGTAGGTTTTGTAACTGCATCGTCTGTGAGAATTTTGTTCAGTGTTTAAGAAGGTGTAAGCTTCAGTCTTGCTCATCTTCATTCCCAAGCAGGCAGGAGAATTAGCTTTACTAGATTGATATTATTAGTGTTTGTTGTTCATGGAGCCACTCTTCCCCTAATTTCCCTCTGTGGTAGTGTGAAAACATAGCAGTTCATGAAAGTCTTTTGTAGAGATTCTGCTATCTTGGACTTCCTTGCACTGACTGTGCTACCTGTTAGATGGCAGTCTCTGAAACTGAGAGATGATAGAGAAATGAAAAAGCTGCAGGTAGTTGCATTTGTTATGCCTGTTGTCTGGTCAGTGAACCTTACTGTTAATAACTCAAGGGTTTGGTGAAGGAAAAGATAGATGAAGAAGGTTTGAAAGTGGAAAATGTGTTATAAAGAGGTGTAAGTGTAGCACACTGCTGTTGGCTGGTGTCAATGAGAGGTGGAATGCAATGTCCTGAACAATTTCTGGGCATTTGAGATCATCTCAGGAGAAAAGTACGTAGAAAGAGAGTGGCTTGTAAGTGTTGATGACTTTCTTCCTATGTGGACCATATTTGTTTTAGAAGTTTTCCTGCTTCCTGCATTATTGTGTAACAAAGATTTCCAGTTTCACCCTGGAGAGGAAGACCGTACTTTGATTCTGTTCCCAGCATGGCTTGGTGAAAGTATGATACCAGATAGATCTGCAGGTCTTTGTACTGAACTGAGGAAGTGACTTGACAAGGTACATTTCACACAATGAGGAAAAAGTATGATGAGGTAATTTTTACCTGTAAAAGAGAGTTTGCAGTGAAATTGTTGTGATATTCTTAGGTATGTTAACAGATGCTGCCTGAGTTTTATAGCAGAGGAGTGACAAAGATCAGCAAACAATTTGACTGTGAGAATGATTTTCCTTTTTAATGGAATACATAACAAATGCTGATTGTAGATTTAGAAATGCCTATAAAACAAATATGTAAAGATTTTGTCTTTACATGTTTTTCTGACAAACTATCGCTGTCAGGAATGTAATCTTAACTTGAAAACTTCCAGTTGTTTAAGGTGGATAAAATAATTATCTACACCTATCTGTACACTGTGCTTTTATGTTACTGGTCTAAAGCAGACGTGACTGCTTCTTGTACTCTTTAACTTCCAGTATTTTCCTTGTACCCACTGGGAATTTATAAAAGGCAAAACCAGATGACCCTTATTTGTTGTGTTTTTCACTCCTGATATTTAAAATGAAACATTATGCCAACCATGCCCAGCCACCCGCTGCCCCACACCATGGCAGCAGCTCTTCCCTTGAGCAGCCCGTCCTGTCCCTGGACACGCACCCATTGCTCACAACAACTGAACATCAGTGCGTGATGGGCTGGAACCAGGACATGGGGAGGACGCAGTGCTAACTCGAGTGACAGAAAATTATTTTATGCATTGTGATACACTGGCTAAACACAGTCCTGTGAACAATGAACAATAGGGAGCTGTGCGTTCCGTGAAAGGAATTTGAAAATAGGTTTCAAGAAGGATTGCAAAAAAAAAAAAAAAAAAAAACACTAATCAGTTATTCAGTTATTTTGGATTAGTTGAGACTCTGTTTTCAGTCAACATAAATGTTTTTTGGGAATTTTCATATGGAATGTATGGAGTTGCAATAAAAAAAAAATGTATTGCGTCTCTCTACTAGAGTTTTGTAACACCTGTCTTCCCAAAGACAAATATCCCTCCCTTCACAATCACACCTTATTCACATCATCCCTTTTGGGCAGTGTGTATATTCATGAACAGCTATTTTAAAGGATGTACTTGTTGCCCTCTTTTCTATGTTTGAATAAAAACCTTAAAAATTAAGGAGGGATTACTTTCAGAGCAACCTTTGTAAGCATAGCCCCTGTCTTCTTCCTTCGGTGTGGTCCAAGCAAAACAGATTTTCTTGTTTGTTTGTTTTTGAGACTGAGAGCAGTATAACCAATGCAATGCCTCACTCAAAACCTACAGAATAAAAACAGATTTTAACTATCAGCCCAGACAAGGCAGCAATTACAATAAGAAGCTGTTTTAAGTTGGCGTGGCTTTAAGTTGGAATGTGTGATTTATGTAAGAAAATGATAGGAAGATGCTGAGAAATGTGGTTTTTTTTTTGAAAGAGGTTCTTTACCATAGAAAGCAAGCAGAACTAGATTTTTGTTTAATCTATGCATGAGGCCTGTAGGATCCTAATTACAGTATTTCTGATGGAAGTCTACTTTCAGTGAAGTTAGCAGAGATGCTAATGTTCACTGAAATTGAGCTAAAAGGTCATCAAACTGTTAGTGCCAGTGAAGTGGGCCTAAGCAACTCAGCTTGCATATAAGCAGCTATTTGCTTGCAATCTGTCAGAATGAATGCCTTCTGTCCTATAAGGAACATGGAAGGGTAAATGATATGAAATGGGTGGGCAGCTGAGGCTCACTGCTGCCCTGGGCTGTCAGAGCCCAGCAGTGGTGGGGAGTGTAGCCAGACTTGGACCAGGTGCTGGCCTGCAAACCTCATGTCTACAGTGCTGTAGGAAACCTCCTCAGAATCATGGAAATTGTGGTTTCTGTTAGTTAATAAGTGGAAGATTCACTGCTTTCTCTTTCCGTGCTCTGTAGTGCTCTTTAAACTTCTACTGGACTTTGTTTCTTTTTCATGTCATGAGGTAGGAATTCTGTTCCGAGCAGCTCAGCCCAGTCCTTCACTGAATATCTGGCAACTTTGCTTTCCTCCTAAGCGCCTGCCCAACCTTGCTATGTTGTGAGTGTGCCTTTCCCACACACATGAGGAGACCCAGTGCATCAGCTATGGCAGTTTCCTGCCATTGCAGTTGGTCAGTCCATCAGTCAGCCACCATAGCTTGGGCATGGGTCCCAGAAGAATAAGCTGTGGCCTATCTTGCTGCTGCCAAAGCTCAGCAGAGCTGAATCAGTAGCTCTTAATACACACAGCATAAAGCAGCAGAGGAGGCACTGTGTCGCTGCTGCTGCAGAGCAGGGAGAAAATATGCCAAGTTACACTTGCTTTGCTAAAAATTTTTTGCATGGAATATGAGATGTTTGTCCTGTTGAAGGCCTTGAAAGAGGTTAAACAGCTGCAGTTAAGTTAGAATGGTGCGGTGTGTTTTTCTAAAGGCTAAGAGCTGAAATAATTGTAGGTGCCTCTAGGAATGAAATAAAGAGGCATAGGTAAGAAAAAATTACTTTCCTCATGGTGTGTGACTTTTCTTATTTGGCAGTTACTGTAGCTGGGATCTTGGTGTTTTCCTATTTTTGTCAGCATTACAGATATGAATTTTCACATGAATGAGTTGTTCTTAAATAATTTTCTATCTACAATGGGGACTAACAAGCTTTTTGTCCATGTCTGGCATGAGCATATCCTTCAGCTAAAGTTACTGAAAGAAAATTTAGGTTACTGCGTTCAGCGTTCAGGTTTGGCTTTTGCTGTGTATATTTGATAATACTTTAGCAAGTTTTGGGAGACATAGAAGACCTTACTATTCCAATAATCCTTTGGGATTGTTTGGAGGACACTGATTTGTGGGTTCTTTTTGGCAGTTGTACACAGGGGTCAGTGTGAAAAGAAAATCTTACCCTACCTACTGAAATTGTTTTAATAGAAGTTCTTGAAGGCTGTGTTTGTGTAATGGCAGAGCCACAAACATGGATCAGATGATGGCATTAAATTTGTAAGCATGGACAGGCTAAATGAACTACAGGCAGTTCTAAAAGCTGTCAGAACTGAGTTGTCTTTCATGTGTGGGATGATGGCATTACGTATCCCAGTAAAGAAATACATTAATTGCTTGAAGGCTAAGATGTACAATGTAGCTAGCTGCAGCAGGAAAATACTAGTACCTGACAGGAGAAAGGACTTTTCTGAGGGAAGGTGGCTTTATTCTCAGAAAATCCAGTTTTCTGTGCTTCTTTTTTTTTATTTTTTTGGTCCTTTATGTACTTAACCTCAGGTATGATTTTTAGTCTGCATCCCTGAATGAGTGGAGAACACTGTTCAGAAGTCTTTTATGTTATGGATACTTTTCAGATAATTGGAAGATTATGGTGAATAAGGGCTGGTAGTTTTATTTTTTAATCAATTTTTATATTCATACAGTTTGTACTGATTAAGGGCAAATGAGGTTTGTTTTCTTCCAGTATAGTTGAGAAATTAAATTGAGGACTAGGTATACTGATATGGCTTAGAATAGTTGTGTAATATGGGAGGACAAGCTCATTCCAGAGAGGAGTCAAATAATACCTATTTAATATTTTGTCATATGCATATTAAAACCATTTTAACTGTGAAACAGCTCACCTCAACAAGATTACTCACAGAAGTTATGATGATAACTAATACCATTGTTAAAACATCCACAATTAGTTTATGTACAGCTATGCAGTATACATCCCTCCAAACTATCATGCCTATTGCTTTTTTTTTTTGTCTTCCTGAGGGTTAGCAGTAAGGGCTATGCCATGGGAGTAGTTTAGTATTTAATTTTAAAACTCTTCTTCAAAGACATTGTTTAATTTCACAGTGCTCCAAGTCATATATATCTAGTGCTCTGTATAAATGTTTCATAGTGGTGGTGCTGGTGCCATAGCAGTGACATCTCTGGGTGAAAGGCAAGTTGGTCTGTACTAATTTTATCCAGTGTAACGTTGCTAGTTTCCTAAGTATATTAGGTGACCTATTTGTACCTAAACTACTGGTGACAATTCTTGAACAGTTTTGCGTCTAGCAGGATGCTTACCTGGGCTGAAGAACAATGGCAAAAAGGAGATCCTAAGCTGTTCTGTCTAATGTGCATCTGTAATGGCATAGTGATAAAAGATTTTTCTTTTAACAGATTCTGGAAAATAACAACACCAATGAGTGACTTGATCATTGCTGTCAGCTCCAGATGACCTGCCCTGTTTTTCAGAAGGGTATGTATACATCCATTCATTAAGGTGTTGGTAAAATCCAGTATCATTTTAAGATATGTTCCCGTTGCTTTTTTTTGTTGGGTTCCTTTGCATGTGTTTGTTTGTTTCTTTTATTTTTGCTTGTTTTACTTTGACAGCCACACTTAATGTGTCTTATCCACCTGATCTCTAACTTACTCCTTTGTTCTTGATCTAGCATTATTTTACAGCAAGACGAAATGCTGTGTCAATACCTTGTTGCTAGTTGCAGGTGATATGTGTGTCAATGTAGCGAATGGCTTCAGGTCTCTCATAAATGCCTCTGAATGTCTGGCTCACCAGCCTCTTAGTTTTGCCTGTCTTTGTTCCTTTGAACTTGCAGTCTGCTGAGGAGCAGGATTTGGTTGTATCTTCTTGCACAGCTGCATGCTGGTTTGGAGAAAAAGGTGTTCCTGTTGACTCAGAGTTGTGTGCTGGATATAGCTTGAATATTTTCCTATTAGTCTGCATGTAAAATCCCTCCCAAGGTGATTCTTCTGATAGTTCATTTTATACTGCACACTTGTAAGGTTTTGGTTGCACAGTGGTTCAGGAGAGAAGACAGTGTTCTTCTCTTATATGAATTTTTGAAGAAGGTTTAAAAAAAAATCTTCAAAATACAGTAGTTCAAAGACTGTATGAGTGTGACCAACTTATCTATTTTATTGAAATCTGTATGAAACAGAAGGAAAAATAATATTAGCTTTGGAAGAGAACTGCATATTTGACATAACTCAGAAATAAAATTCCTCTGAGTTACAATAAGTGCTGCATCTGGTCAGTCAACTAAATGTTATCCTTCGGTACTGCAGACTGCCTGGGAGCTCCTCTTGATTGCCAGCATACAGCATCTAAGAAATAGACATTGCTTTTCTTTAAAGAGTTTGCAGGTCAAGTAGTTTAGATACTAAGACAAGTTCATTAAATGATAGCTTAAACTGCTATTCATACTTGAAAGTCTGTAGAGAAAAGCTGTTGAAAAATGGTAATTTGTCCTGTAAATTCTGTCGTTACTGCCAGATGCTGTTACTTAAAGTAACAGTAGTCAAATTCACCTATAGAACTAACAATATATGTTGTGTATGCTGTGGTAGGCCCAGTGTAGTGTCTCCTGGTCAGTGGCAGAGGAACATGTTGGTGGCAGTCACGGTGGTAGCAGTAGCAGCAGTTCCATCCCTGCCACTGTGAATGGATCGACATGAACATATCCAGTGCTTGAGCTGCTACTCTTGGCAGCTGATAACCCTTGGTGTGGAAAGCTGCAGTTGTTTTGTCTCTGTGTAGGCTATAGGTGAAGGCAGTGGGGCTACGAGAGGTCAAATTTAATTGAAGCATGCACACCTGGGTGGAGATAGGATGTTTACTTCTAGAAAACTGTTTATTTAGGGGAGGGCCATAGGCTAGATGACAATTGTTCAGTAGTTCAATGTTCATAGTAAAAGTATTTACCCTTTTAGTAAAGAAGTGATGAAACTGGCTCCTGCTGAATGTGTTGGTGGCCTGCATGGAGCTGGGATGTTATGTTGCTGCTCGCAGTGTCTCATAACAAAGTCTGGGATGCTTGCCTTAGAGCCGAGGAGTTTTAAGTATGTAAAGGTAGTAGGACAAGAAATAATCAGAAGTAAATAGGGCAAGGAATATAGTAGTGTGTTGTACTTGAAAACATATTGCTTTTTGTTCAAAGAAAGAAACATGTGAAATAGTCTGTGTAAAACATAATGAGGGAATTAACAATGAGTCTAATATTTCAAATGAAGAGTAAATTTTAGTTGCAGTAGGAGAACAGGACATGCCAGTACAGTTTGAGCTACCCCTATAAGAAGGAAAGAGGTTATTATAAACAAAATATTTACATTCTGCTCTTTGGGATGTTGTTTTAAGCAAGGTAAAGAGGAAAGCTTAAGATAACTTCAGTGGAAGAGAATTGTCATGAGCTGTCACCAATCTTGGTGGTTTGCTGTACTCTAAAAAGTTTGAACTTAGCGGAAGATGGATAATAAAATGCATGATATTTTTCCAAACACTTGTTTTTGCAAAGTATTTAATTTGTAACTTAAGCTTCTTTTACTAGATGTCGTCTGTTACTGAAAATGGAGATGTTACTGCTGGAAAGCCAAATGAAGAGAAAACGTATAAAAAGGTAATTAAGATTATAATCTTTTCATGCTCTTCCTTTTATGTTCATAATTTAAACCTGCTGTAAGTGAACTATACTTCAAAATTAAATATAAAAACAAGTAAAGCATGTTCTGTGGATTATTTGAAAGTATTTTATTCCTTCTGTGAAATGATAAGCTGATTCAGTATGGTTTTAAAGTATACATTCTTGATAGATTGCTGGAAATTCTTTGCTCTTAGCAACAGAAATACCTCTGTACACAAACAGTTGTCAGAAATTGAGTACAGCGAGTTCCCAAATGCTTTGAATGTTTATGCCGGATGCCTGAGTTACAAACTCACTTTAACACCTCTTCAGTGTTTGCTGCAGAGTGCACTTTTTTTTTTTTTGTAAGGAAATAGTGGTGTTTAAGAAGTGACATATTTTGTGTAATATTGTACATCCATCGTAGCAACATGAGGTTACTTAGAGATTGGTGGTAAGTGATATTTTTGGTTTTGGTTGTCTCTCAGTGGTTCTCTGGAAGCAGCACTGTTTAGAACCATCAGAAATTATTGGTAACTAAGGTGAGACATATATATGTATACATAAGTAAGTACTTACACAAGCCAATTTTTACTTAATGGATTTGATCACTTTCCTTGACAGATATTCTCTAAGAAGTAGTGATATGTTTCCGTAATGTAACATTGAGGTCCATGTGCTCCTACAGTATACATCATAAATTAGGGGATATTATTTCTCTGTCTTTCCTACAGCATTGCTGGGAAAGTCAAGAAGAGTAAGCTATTTCTTTTCCCACTCCCCACTCCTTTTGTTGGCAACTACATTTTAAGTCATTCTAGATTATTTTCTCAGAATTTTCTCAGAAATGAAAGGAAAACAATGTTTAAGAAAATGTGTGGTTATCTTTTTCAGTTAAAAATTGTCTTCAGTTTCTCTGCTTATGACTTCAAAATACTGAAGTCTTAACTTTCCACATCTAGTACTAGAAAGGTAGAAAAGCTATATGCCCATATAAAAATACTTATTAATGCAGTCTTATAACAGCCTGAGTAGACTGCAGAACTTGGTAGTCCCTGCACAGTAGGGGTTTGTATTCCACAGTAGGGGAACTTGTATTCCTTTCAGTCATCCTATGGGCCTTACTTTGTTCCCATTCAATTCTTAAGTTCACAGTATTCCAAAGAAAGCCTTGTAAAGATTTATAGCATGACACCAATTCTTCTGTAGTTTTATGAGAAATGCATCCACCACATCATACTGGGAACTCAGTGTCATCTCCAAATTCTGCTCTTTTCCCTGAGCTTCCAATTGTTTGTACATGGATCTTACAGCAGTTTAATTTCTGGTATTCATACTCTCAGTTGTTCTCAGTTAAAGATCCTCTGTTATGGGTACCCCATAGTTCAGTGTTATTGCATATTGTCATTTATGCTCCAGCTTCTGAATACTAATAAAAAATAATAAAGTTTAATCCTAAAACTGATGCATGAAGAATTTAATGATAGTGTGTTTTGCTTTTAGTTATGTATCTCTTCTCATAAGCCAAATTCTTTATAAGCCTTGCACTAAATTCTGTTTCTCACCTTTGCAAGATATTCCATATAACACCACTGAAGAGTTTTTTGTTTGTTTTTTAATAGAAGTTATTTGCGTTTGTGTAGAAAGATGTTTATGAGGTGAGGCTGGCAAGACCTGTGTTTGACAGCGGCATTTCATGTCATCTTCCATTCCAGATTTTTATGAAACCTTCACAATGGCACCACTTTCTGGTGAAGTCTTGTTGGCAGTTAAGACCCACCTATCTCTAACTGCTCACATCACTTTTATTTCCTTTTTTTAATTATTATTGTTCAGGTTCTTCAATCATGCTTTACTGTACTTAGTTTGGCAAAAATCACTGACAATTTTGTCCTTTGATTTCCTCTTATTCTCCAGAAATCTGGTTTGGGGAAGAGCTTAGTTTCTTAGCTAATGCTTTTTCTACTGCTTGGGCAGTTCCTGCTCCCATCTGCCACATCCCTCGATGGCAGTGGGACTGCTTAGGCAAGATGCTCCCATTGTTTTCAGATCAGGCCAGGATTGCTAACTCATTTTTATTGCTTGGAGACCTCCTTTCCACCTTTTTGTTCTTGTTGTTTAAACATAATCAAAGTGGAGAAACATATGATGTTTGTCTGTTCAGTTTGAACAGGCAAAATACAGATCTTGACTTCAGTTTTGCCAGTTTGGGCTTTGGCTCTGCTGTGCGTTGGCCTTTCATATGTTGCTCCAGGGCAGCTGTGTAGCTGTTTCTTAAAATGGAACTGGTGTCTGTCTTTGATCTGGAATATTTGTAGCAGTGATGTGCTGTTCTAAGGAGGTTGCATTGATTGGTCTGGTAGCCAAACAAGTTGCATCATGAGATGCATGTCTGGAGCAGTTCAACAAAGCAATAAAGAGTATAACTAGAGAACGAATGGGTAACCAAAATGTAGTTCAGAAACACTGACGTTATAAAAGTTTTGTAATGCCAAGATTCCCTTGGTGATTCAAGGGATTTCTGATGACAGTCCTAGGAGTTAATTGTCCTGAAATGAGCTGATAGTTTCTGTCTCAGCTTTAAGGTCATGCTTCCAACACAGAGGGTTTAATGAAGGAAGAGTCATTGTCATCTTCCTGTGTCTCTTGCTGAGGGCTGCACTGGTTCCATGTGAAGACTCAGGAGCAACTTTATCATAAGCCATGTGATCTGATCTTTTAAGTTTCCTTGAGCTTTTCAGTCTTCTCCCAGAGTGAAATGCTGTAGTGTGCCTCTTTACCTCTATTTCCCAGCTCTTGCTGTAAAGCTAAAAACAAATGAAATCCTTATGGATAAGTAATGTTCTGATACAACTTTGCTTGAAAGGTTACTATTTCCTTACATAATGATGGGGGAGAGGGGGAATTTCTCTGTCTCATCTGAAGACTGAACTATCACTTTGTCCTGAATAATTTTTGCTTTTTGCCTAGTTGCATTGTGTCCACTCATTTTTCATAATAGTGTGCAAGGATTATGTCTGTACAGCTTTCATCACACTAATGTGTCAAGTGCATACAAATCGGAAAATTAATACATGGAAAATGTCTGATGTAAAATTCAGTGACTCATAGGAGAAAGTTAAATAAATGTTGGCTTTGGAGGCATTTTCCATTTGTCATCTCCACTGAGAAAGAAACCTAACAAATCAATACATATTAAACAATGTTTTTGCTTGATCTGGAAATGTGAAGAAATGTAAATATCCCTTACTAAGAACTGCGAGTAATTTCTTCATAAGGAAAACATGGAAGAAAATTAGAGAGAAAATAATTGCAAACACATGACTTTTGTTTTCATCTATTTTATATATGTTTAAAAACATTTTTTCTTGGAGAGAGGTAAAGGGAGCTTACATCTGTTGTAGACAAAACTACTTTCTTTAGCACTTTACTGTCAGGCTCATTGACATGAATAATGGTTTACTAAAATGTTTGTCCATCTCAGGACAAAGTGTATCTTAACTGTTGTTAAGATAAAAGAAAAGGTTTTTTGTAGTGGCAGAAAATGATCACCATCTTTTCCTTGTGGGTTACTCATCCTTACTTCCAAAGACCCTGGAGCTGATGTAGATACTGCTTTGAGTGCACTGACTGAAGTAGAGGTAGGCTGTGCAGTTTTATCTAGTGAATTTGGACAACTGGAGAATGAATTAGAGCTAAGGCTCTAATTTGCTCCCTTTTCTGCTGTTTCCTGTATAGCATGGCTCATCATGCAAATGCTGTCATTCAGAACACCACCCCACACTCTTCCTTCTTTAACCTCAACTTCTATTGATGAGCAGTGTCAAGCAGTACAGGGTATAGTGTAGGTCCAATGGGAGAGCTATCCTGGCTGCGTTCCCTGCCCACTCCTTGTGGACTCCCATCTTCTCACTGGAAAGGCAGCATGAGAAGCTGAAAAGTCCTTGGCTTTGTGTAAACTATCAGTGTGTTAACAAGACTGTTTTCATCACAAATCGAAAACACAGCACTGTACCAGTTATTATGAAGAAAATTATCTGTGTCCCAACCAAGGTCTGAAGAAATCTTACTAATAATTGAGAACTTTATTTCTGTGGTATTTTGGTTGTGTATTACCAGTGTGTTCCAAACATGTCCTGAATCCATGTAGAATGATTTTAAAAGCTATTATAAACATCTGTGATAATGACTGTTTTTCACTGTTTTTAAGTTCATCTCAATCAGTTAAAAATAAACTTTCATTTTTACGAAGAAGCTCGTTCCTCAGAGGGCAGTGAGTCACTGGTACAGGATGTTCGGAGAGGCTGTGGATGCCCCATTACTGGAGGCGTTCAAGGCTAGCTTGGATGGGGCAGCTGAGCTGGTGGGTGACAGCCTTGCCTATGGCAGGGGGGTAGGAACTAGGTGATGTTTAAAGTGCCTTCCAAGCCAAGACATTTTGTGTTTTCTCCAGGAGGAAATCTGACTTCAGGATAAAGCTAAGAATAAGTTAGCCTATAGTCCTGTTAGTTCTATTTATGAAACTTTAGATACTTCCAGTAGTTTCTTTATAATTTTGTTTAGTTCAATTAAAATAGTGATAGATTTCTTACTTATCGGAATTCTTGAGATCTTCTTTTCTTCAGTTTCCTTCAGCAGTTATGTTTTGACCCAAATCTCAGATAGAAGAAAATGTGATTTGCCATGCACGTAAACACTTTAAAGATCCAGGATGATGTCTTGATTTACTAAAACCTTGTTAAAAGCCTCGCTCAATCATTGCTAAGCATCCTAACTATACAGTTTCTGGAATTCATAACTATATCAAGACAGTGGCACGGTTGTAAGTATGCAACAGTCTTTTATTTTTTTCCTGATATTTTACAGACTCAGTTATCAGAATCTGCTGACACTTGTGCAACTTTTTCATTGCAATGTAATCAGTCATATATAATAGTTCCGTAAGCTGCTTTCTGACATTCAGTATACTGATAGAAATAATAAGGCATGAACAAATCTCTTGAAGCACTTGAAAAGTGTAGAAGAAAATCAGACCATTACGCATAATGTTCTTATTCTGGAAACCTGTTACCAGTTTTCCAAAATCTCTGCTTGTAATCCACAGTCCACCACAGATGCATACTTGTTTGGCATGATTATTTCTTATGGTAACATATTTTGCAGTTCTTCTTAGTGTATTACAATTAGCACCTTGCCTTGTTCAAAATTGGCTATCTGTGGCATCAGTCACTTTGCCCAGGAGCAAAGGGAATTTATCTGAAAAAAGAAAATTAGCTGCCTATTGTTTCAGCTTGCAAAAGTGTGTTAACAGCATTGCTGCATGACTGTTAGCATTGGTTTATGTCCAAAGACCAATGTGTGTGGGTAGAATTGTTCTGCCAACATTGTAACTTTTCTACCAGAGCTGCACTGGAACATACATTTTCAATAGCATACTACTGAATGTTTTGTACTCGGAAAGAAAGAAAATAATACAATAATAGCAGTTGTACTTGTTTAATGACCTAGCTATATACTGGCATTCAGCACAGAATGTCAGAAAAAATGTGTGTAAGTTTATATTGTGGTAGCACAGTTATTGATGACTTTAATATGGAAAGTACAGTGAACACCATGTGGAACAGCATGTAACGCTTCATTGCTTTGTTCATAGGCATAGTTCTAGGATGCAAAGAAAAAGAATGGCCAAAGAATGTGGCATAGGCTGGTGTAATGGATAGCTTTCAGAAAGAGCAGATACACTCTGGATATTTCTACTCATTGCTGCAGAACAAAGAGTGTTTTTCTACATCTGTGACACCACTGCTATTTACATCTGGATTATACAAATAAATAGCTGTCTTTTGTTTTGTTTATTTGCTATTATGATAGCTTGCCTTATCATTACAAAAACCTTGGGTAGAGCTCTCCTTTGGAGGTCACAGCTGCTTTTTGCAAAGAAGACTAGCAGGCCTAAGGTAACTTTTTTTTCTGTAAGAGGGGCAGCTTAGTAGTAGCTGTTAACTCCTGCCTTCCACAGCAAAATCCAGAGATGCGGTGGGTGGCAGAAGTCCAATTAAATGAAGTCTGACTTGCTGTGCAAGCAACTGGCAGAGAAACAGGCAGTGTGAACTTAGGGAAGAATGAAAGAACAGAATGGAGTTGCAAGTTGTGGAGAAACACAGGAAGGGGTTTAATCATTGAAGTTTTCTAGTTGCTCTGTTTTTACATGCCCTTTTTGTGATTTAATATGAAAGGAAACTGGTAATGAGGCAAATAAGGCAGCAGCAGAGACTTGCTGAGGTGGTCTAGCTGCCTCTAAAAGCTTCGCCAGAAGCAGCTGCTGGAAGTGTTCTGTTAGTGGGACACTACAGGTGCCCAAATACAGGAAAAATATAGTGCAAAAGAAATGGAATCCCAAATAACTGCACACACAGATTGAAAATAGCAAATAGCAGCAATTTCTTAATGTTCAAGAGTTTTTTTTAACATATTGCATGGAGAAAGCTTACTGTTTTCCAACAACACTGTCCTCAGGTGGTTTGACCTATGAGTTTACACAATTTATGGAGGCTTAGTTTCTTTTCATGGGTCTGGAAAAGATAAGCTATGTTTGCAGAGGAGAGGTGGTGTGTTTAGATTCCTGGTACTTGTGGTAACCAGTATAACTGAAGAACAAATGTTTACTTGTAGGAAACTCAGATCTGTCCAAATCCATGCATCTAGAATAAGGCAGAAGCCTGTGGATTATTTATTCATTTATTTATCTTCAGGGAGGCTGCGGCTTGCAGAAGAGCTTCTGTATGCAACTCTATAACAATCCCCTTTCTGAAATGTCATTGCTTAATGCCATTTTGATGGTATTAAGAAGTGTCTACAATTTAGACAGTGTGCATTGTGTTTCAGTTAAAATAAGAAATCAAGGAAGTGGGAATTTCATTGGGAATTTTTGCTATATTGCCAGATTCACGTTCTTCACACTCTTAGTCTGATTTCAGGGTAATGTAATAGTTTTATAAGATTTAATGCGAAAATACATTCTTGTAGTGTTATTAAAGTTTTGAAGAGTTGATTTTAGGGAACTATAGTCTGTTCAAGTTCTAGGAACTGAGGCATGGAGAGAAGTTTGACCTCCTTCGTGAGGCAGGTTTTTTTAAGCTAACTGGAGATGATCACTATCTTGTGTTTTCACAAGGAAAAGAGCTGTGAAGTAGACAACCAATTCATTGATTCAGTTCTACCACCCAGCAGAACAGGCTGGTGAAAGAGATAAGAGCAGTCTTTTCTTCGCAGATAGTAGTAAAAAGAAACAAACTAGTGGCAGCTGTGTGGGAAAAACAGCTGCAGAACAGTGTTAATCAGTGGTGGTTTCTTATCAGGTGCCTTTTGCTCTCCATGTCATAAATAGAACTGTCATAACTAGGTAGCTCTACCATTTCATTAGAAAAAAAATTAAAAACCTGGATTGTTTATTTTATTTGTATGACTGTGCTACAAAGGGTGGAAAAATGCAAAAATCTTGCCTTTCAGAGTGATAATGAAGTGAAATTTCTGAGGAAAAGAATATGAGCATTATAGCAGGTGCTTTGTAGCACCTGCAATAAGCCAGGTGTCTTGCAAAAGAATCACCATCTTTGCCCTCGAAAGTTCATAGGCTAAGCTTCAGTTGCAATAAAATGAGCTATAAAAAAGGAAAACAGATACACAAGGACGAAGTTCATACCCTTGAAGTTCCATATGACATTTCTAGGATGTGCTAAAAAGGGCAAGAATGTTGAATTCATGAACTGCTTGTGGGGAATATGAAGACTTAGTAAACATTGAGTGTTAAGAACGGGAAAAATGAGAGTAGGGTGAACTTCAGAAAATTTAGTGAAGGCTGAATCCAGTGCAGTTTTTTTTCTGTTCATGGTTGTTTGTTTTTTGCTTTTTAAAATATTAATTTATTATTAACAGTCCCATACAGATAGATAACATATAAGAAAACCTGTTTAAAAGGATAAATGTATTTACCATTTGCCAGCCATTTACATTGAAACTGTAATGACCTTAACATTCTAATGGAAATAGTTATTTGGCAACATATAATATGGTTTCTAGTAATTATTAGTACTTACAGTTTTGCACTCTGCTGCCATCTGTAACATGTCAACAATGTGTTATGAAATATTGGTGGGATGTTCTGCCATACTACCAACATCCACCTCTGACACTGAGCCAGTGTATGGAGTTTTTTTTGTATGGTGTATCCTCTGTGTTTGGTAAAATGCAGTTAGCAGCTATGCTTTTCAGTTGTAGTCGCTCACTGTGTCAGTGAACAAGATGGGTGTCCAGCTATGAAGCACAAACTCTATTCACATGTTTATTGATTTGATCAAAATTGCATAATTGCTGCTTGTGCTGGAAATTCAATCATGCATGAATAGAGTCCTTTCAAAGAAAGAAAAATGTGAATCTTCTTACAACACAGGCCAGATCTTTTTATTAATCAAAGTTGCAGTTGAAGAATGGTAGCATTGTTTGTTCCTGCCAAATTGCCTGTTCTGAACTGTTATAAAATTGCAACTTCAGTTTGGTGTGTAATCTTAATTAATGAGGAACTACACATCTTTATCTTTTCTAAAAATAAGCAGTGGCTCTGGCATGTGCTCTTCTGAGGACTAAAATAAGTGTAGTTTTGTGTATGTGAACTTTTTCTTATGTAATTTTTCACTCCCTTCTGAAATATTTTTATTCAAGTGCTGCAGTAATTCTTGCCATGGAACTTCTGGGGTTTTCACTGATACCATGTCTACTTTGATGGATGAGAGATAACATCTGAAAACAAGCATCAAAATGGTACCTTTGAACTACTAAAAGTGCACCATGCTAAGGGAAGTTATTCCCTTCTGTCAACCTTATTTACCATCCTAGTGGTTTGCTTTATTCAATCCTTTCATCTTTTCTTTGCTTCATTTGCACTTCCATGTCAGATGCCATTTTGTCAGAGTGCCCTTTTGCTGCTATCTGTCACACATCAACAGCATGTAACAGTACTGGTGAGAAGGTTCACCCTTTTGCTACCATACTACCAACTTCTGATGATGGGCAAACATAATAAAATATGAGGCATTACTTTTGGAGGAGAGATTGTGCATTTTCGTGGTATTTGTAACTGTTTTTTCCCAGAATGTAACACATGCAGATTCAAACCCTGGAATAGGTTTGAATATCTAATAGGCTTTTGGATCAACGCAGCATTTCTTTAAATCTTTTAGTTGATAAGAAGTTCTCTAGTTGAAAGTTTTCTTCTGCTCTTAAAGGCTGAGAAAGAAAGAGGATGTGGCATTGTTATTACAAAGTTATGTTACTGATAAGAACAGAAATCTATCTGTAGTTAACTGATGCTTGAATTCCTACTTTCTATGCAGACTACGTCCTCGGCTATTAAAGGTGCTATCCAGCTGGGAATAGGATACACTGTAGGAAACCTTACTTCAAAACCAGACAGAGATGTTCTTATGCAAGACTTCTACGTAGTGGAAAGTGTCTTCTTACCCAGGTAAGCACAAGCCCATTCAATCTATTTTCTAGCAGAATTTCATAATGAAATTCTACCTAAATATTTAAAATAAAAATTGTTTTACAATTCTGGCAAAATTGGGTTTGAAGATTGAGGCAGAAGAACTTGAAAATGCTCCTGTCTTCATATTGTCAAGTTTAGTTCATGTGTGGAGTTTGAATGTTACTTCATAAATTGTTCCTAATAATTTGCAATGAATCATAGAATCATAAAATGGCTTGGGTTGGAAGGGACCTCAAGGGTTATCAAGCTCCAACCCCTCTGCCACAGGGGGCGCCCAACCTCCGTATCTAATATTAGACCAGGCTGCCCAGAGCTCCATCCAACTTGGCCTTGAATACTGGGACCAGGGCATCCACAACCCCGGGGCAGCCTGTTCCAGCACCACACCACTCTCATGGTAAAGAACTATCCCCTGATATCCAACCTAAATCTTCCCTCCCTCAACTTAAAACCATTTCCCCTTATCCTGCTGTTATCTACCCTTTTGAAGAGTTGATTCCCCTCCTGTTTGTAGGCTCCCTTTAGGTATTGAAAGGCTGCAATGAGGTCACCCCTCAGCCTTCTCTTTTCCAGACTGAACAAGCCCAGCTCCCTCAGCCTGTCTTTGCAGGGGAGGCACTCCAGCCCTCTGGTCATTTTTGTGGTTCTCCTCTGAGCCCACTCTAACAGCTCCCTGTATTTCTTCTTTTGGATGCTTGTATCAGTGCTCAGAGATTATTAGTGTTAATAAATGAAAAGTGAAATTGACAATGTTCAGAACAATTGCAGGTAGGTACTTCTGAAGTTGATCTCTCCTGATGTAAATTTGGTAGTTTAAATTTCTAATTTCCTCTGAGCTGAGAAATTTTTTCAAGAGTAAGACACTGTATTTCTTATGTGAAATGAAGCATTTAATTGTATTCTCTAGTTCATAGGACTTGGGAGTATCCATATCGTGTTCTGGTGCTAACCAGATCTTTCTCTTGGTGATATAGATTTGTTACCTTATCCACTGTAACAGTTCTTCCCTTGTTCAGAAAAAAAAAAAACCTACAACTTAAAACTGAGAAGTTTGTATATCATGTCACCCTTTTTTTGAAAAATAGATTGAGCCATCATATCTGTGAAGTGTCCAACTGTGATAGTTATGCAGGGTTCTGTAGTTGTTTGTTTGACTGTTACACCGGTTTTGTTATTCGTGAAACAAAATGGAACATCTATGATAAAAGTGTTTCATGATATAGCACAACTTTGGGCAAAAAAAATGTAATCTGTATTTTTTAACGCGTGTGTGAAAGATTAAGTTAAATAAAATGGTTTGTAGTATTTAGCATCACAGACATTGTGAAATTTGCATCCTGGGGCACTGAGAAATTACATTTTTGTATTTGGTTATGTTTTTAAGGGAGGACTAGGAGAGATTACTTCTGGCTGAAAAAGAGAACAAAGGCAAAAGTAGTAGCCTATTTGTACTAACATAAAAATGATCCTAAAAGCTTTAATAGCACCTTCCTCGACAGTTATCTTAAAAAAAAAAAAAGCATGAAAAAAATGATATAAATGAAGAAAATGACTAGAGCAGCAAGTGCTCTGACTTCTTGTTTTTGTGTAGCACTCTAGTAAGCAGCAGTACATAATACAGTGACTCATAATACAGTGACGCATCTTGACTGTAACAAAGAGCCTTTCTATGTAGAGCCCTTGCTGGTAACGCTCTGTGAAACCAAAAATTGGCTATCCATAGAAGTCTCTTAAAAACAATCATGACGCTTCAGTTCTTAAACTGACAAACAAATTTCATATTTCAAGTCCTTCTCTCATCTTTATTTAACTTGCACCTTTGTCTGAAATCTTTTCAATCTGAAGTGCTACTAACTTGTATAAATCATAACATAGTGTTAAATGAATTATAATGATTTAGTGTTACAGACTTCAGTCTTTCTGGCTGAGAATATTAGTGTATTGAGTCTTGACGTTGTCTGGATAACTAAGTCCTGTCTGTAACTGACTTCACTGCTACAGCTCGAGATAAAAAGCTAAGGCCTCATGTCCCTTCTGTGTGAGGCTGATCTCCAGAGGTGTAGTTCAGGTGCTCTTCACACTTTCCTAGGACAGTATTCACCTTTGAAGACAATATTGTTCAAGTCACTACTTAATTGCAGCTTATGGAAAATGAGCTCTGTGTCCTCTAAATTTTTAGCTTTTTACTTTCTTTTTTCCTCCCCTCTTTGGGCTGGTCTGGGTTGAAAGAAATAAGTTGAAACTAGTTACACCAGCAGATTCCACGGACTCATTACTGGGAGATGATGAGTATCCAGGAACTGGAAGGTGAGGTGAAGCAATGCTTTTGCCCAGTAACTGCACCTGGAAAAGAACCTGGCAAGGCAGTGTAGCAAGTGTGAAGCTTAAAGCAGTCAATTACTGAACAAGAAGCTACATTTTTCTTCTTGCTCTGAGTACACATAATTTAGCTGCAACTCCAGGCAGGTTATTAACTGAATTTCCATGGCCTCATCCAGACCATGCAGGTGTGATATGGTCAGAGATGAGAGGACAGTTGTTCTGTGGTCACAGGCACACAGGCTTCTTCAACAGCAACATGAGTGACGATGACAAAATAGATCTGAGATAGTGGAAGTGCAACAAAACAACAGCCTGTGTTCCAGCGAGTAAAATAGTATTATCTGTGCCCTTATGGGGAAAAGCAGTTTACAGTTGTTCATAAATTTGTTAAGTGAGATAAGAGAACTTGTTTCTTTGTGTCACTTGGGCCCTGATGTAAACCGAAGTTCTGCCTGTAGTTCAGCTTTGTTGACAATAGGAAAATAACTTCCTGCTGTTTCCAGAGTTTGTGAAGGAGGGAGAAAACTGTTTATTCCCTAAAAGGGCACAGATAATACTGAACGTAACTGTGCTGCTTATTGTGGGAGCTGTTGTAAATCTGGATTAACCCATGGATTGCAGGTTATGCCTGTTCTAGAGTTACTTTGTAACAGGGTTAAATTGGGTCATAGTTTATCCTAGATCTAAGTAGATCTTTGTTTCAGGAAGCAGCTCTCAGTAGAGTGTAGGTATCTTTGCAGGAGTGAATTTGAACTGTAGAATTGCTTGCTTTTGTTTGTACTTTATTGCAGCTGTGGAAATGGGGAAATGCTTCTTTTACTTTCTGGTTCACATTGTCCATTTGTCGTTTTCCCTTTTCCTAAGGAGTATAAAAATATGTTCCTTTTGGGGGTTAAGTGGGAATTAATAGGGGATGCTGTAAGAAGGTGTATTTAGAGCTACAGTTAGGACTGATTGTAAATGGTACTCTGTAAATGTGCACTTTGTGCTAAAAAAACAAATGCAAGTGACCCAGTTGATTTTGGAGATACAGTAACTGGAGTGTCAGCCTAACTCCCCTCCATAGGTTGAAATCATATGGAAAACTGTTTTTAAATGCTGCTTTGAAAATCCAGCCAGGAGGTTCTTATCTGGGGCTTATCCATTGTAGCAGTGGCTAGAGGATTTGTAGGAAAGTTCTACATCCTGCCAGTGTTCTCTCTTTCCTCCTCTATCTATTAATTCAGATGTGTGGGCCTTTTTCTTGTCTTCCTGCATTATGCTTTGTGCTCTGACCTTCTTAGTGAGATGAACCAGTTCATGTCTTGGTGTCACATTTTGTTCCCATATCAGCCACTTGCATGTTCTGGATGCAGAAGTATTCTTACAGCTGTTTATTCAAATCTGGGGCCAGCTCAGAGTTGTGTGGCCATGGTGGGGCCTAGTGCTTAGTTAACATGCCTCACAGTTTCAGGCAGTGATGACAAACTAGTCACTAGACTGTGCAGCCACAGGTGAGCTGGGAATGTGGGCACCTTGCTGAGCAAATCCAGCAGACACCGATTGAGGAGGCACGTTTTCTATGGTGATGCTTGGTAAGCTGAACTCTATTCTATCAGCTAACTTTTGCTACTCGGTCATATGCAGCTTCAGAAATGCAGAGCATTTGGGGAAAGGCTTCATCTCTTCTAGCCTTCTGAGATGCAGGCCATTGCTAAGCACAGCTGTGACTTTGATATTTTACAGCAAGTTTTTAACCAGTCTTGTGTATTTCACTTGCTAATAGTCTGTATTTTCAGGGTCTGGATTGTGCTTGTTCTGGTTTCTGATTAAACTAGTAAGTCCGTTTGGTGCTACTGAGTTGTATGCTCACTGCAGCTTCAGTGCATTGTTCTCTGCATATGTGCTGTTCAAAAATAATTACTTTATTTTTCATATATACTGGAATAAGTTTCCATGTACTGTGTACCAGCTTAAGAACAATTTTAGTTTTAACTAATGGTCCCTTTTCTATGCACTGCGGGAAATTGTTTCAAAGTAAAGAAAGGGAGATGTAGATTGGATGTAAGGGAAAAGTTCTATATAATCAGAGAGGTGAGGCACTGGAAAAGTTCACAGTATAGCTACATATTACACTGTGAAATCCCTATATTGCAAAAAAAATGCAATGAGATATCTGGATATATATGTAAAACTTCATTTCAGCTAAGACTGGCATGCTGAAAGAAAAAGCATTAACCAAGCTTAAGTATAAGGAAAAATACTAAGGTCAGCCTAATAACTTATTGTCTTCTATTTTTTACTTCATAATAATAAACTGTAAGTGGATTTTATTTTAATTCCTTAGAGTCATTACACATTGGACTACAGAATGAGCAATCGATGTAGCAGTGTTTCTAGCTGTTAGCTGTATGGTTTAGCAGTTGAAGAAACACTGCTATTCTGATATCTTTGTGTACATCTTTCCTCATCTATAGTCATCTTTTGAAGTGTGGTTTCCAGCCAGAGGCAGGTTGTTTTTTCTTCTTCGGTCTCATATTCCAGAATCTGAAGTATGTGCCTTTCTGGAGCCTGAGAAAGCTTTTTATCTGGCTTGTACTACTTAATTAGCAGCAGTTTAGTTCTGTTGAGTTTTGGTGGTTTGTATGTTGGGGTAGCTAAATGGGTTGAGTAGACTTCCGTAATTAGGTTGTTAATTATTGTGGGTGACAAGTTCATATGACGGACATTAATTGTACAAGATCAAAGCTCTTAGATGTGTTTGATTAGAGATTTATGATACCTAAATCAGTCTTTATAGAAAATCTGCTTAACACTTTCTTCATATTTTTGTGAATTCTTTATTTTTTGGTATACTTTGTATACTACTACTGTCAAGCATGTAGGTACATACTGCATTTCTGAATAATTTATTTGGGTAAATGACTAAAGCAGCGTCAGAAGAGCTGGTATTCACCACTGTGTCCAGTCTTACGAATTTTATACTCAAATATTTATCAACCCATGCGTGGAGTGACCTAACTTTATCTTAATGCTGTTCTTCCTTGCTTTGAAATTATAATGTAGAACTTTATTACTCTGTTTAAAGCCTTCTTTTAATTTCTAACATGAAGGAAACCACAAACAGATTTTTTTTTTGTATAGCATGTTCCTGCCAGCCTTTTCCTTCAGCTTATAAATATATACACTATAAATAGTGTAGTGTTCATCTCAATATCATACAACTGCATCATGGGAATACAGAGGGAGTGTTGACGTAAATTAAGGGAAACTGTCACAAGAGTTACATTCTTTTTATCTGCTTCTTTGAGAAAGACTGGCTTCCGGACTGGCTGGCTCAACAGTCTTTCTTTGTTGATCTTCTGGTTTAAATCTATATCTAATGCGTAACTGAATACCATTTTCAATAATTCCTCACACTGTATATAGCTCATGTTCCTAATTGAGCATATAAACCAGTGGTGGTTTAGACTTAGGCAGGATAAAATACATGATGAGACAGATGAAGGAACAGAAAACCACTTAAAGTTCAGGGAGGCTTTTCAGTTCTGCACTGTACTAGCAAGGAAGGGTGAGATAGCGTAACTGCATTTAGCCTGCAGAAAATAGTACTGAGGATGCCATTTCATAAGTAATGCTGAAATAATCAAAGCTTGCTGGCACAATAAATAAATAAATAAATAAATAAATTTGTAGACCTACTTACTTCCCGCTGCTATGTCTGCATAGTTCCTGCCCTCTTTGTTTTGCTTTAGTATCCTTTTATGCTCTCTCATTTTAGTATCTTCTTACCTGTTTTGCATTTTTAGTATCTTAAGTATCTCTGTCTGACCCTCTTGTGAACCAGTTCATTTCACCACACTTTCCCTTTCTGTGTCAAAGCTATTAGCTCCTTGAAGGAAGGTGAGAAGCTATAGCTTTAGTTTAAATATGATCTTTATGAATGTGGAAGTGGGTGGTGAAAAGACTTCCAGCATGAAAGGAGTTTGCTGTGATACTGTGCATCTCCCAGGCATTTCTGTGACACTGATCAATGCTGATATGCAGATTTATCTGCATGTACGTCTCTAGTAAAGCCAATGATTGAGTTAGGTGGCTTTACATTAATGGAAAGCTTTGCAGGAAGTGGCTAAAAATTGCTCAGTAATAACTGGGTTTGGTCTATTTTTGTTTTTGTTTACAGTGAAGGGAGCAATCTCACTCCTGCTCATCATTACCCCGACTTCAGATTTAAGACGTATGCACCTCTTGCCTTCCGATATTTCAGAGAGCTTTTCGGTATCAAGCCTGATGATTACTTGGTAAGAGCTTGCAGTTTTCCTTTGAGTTACAAATAAATTGCACTAGTTTCATACAGAGGGAGCTTTGGTGCTCAAACAGGTAGTGAATTTTGTATGTGTGGTGTTTAATTATTAGTGAATATTTTTAGTTTCACCAAAATCTTAATTTTTCATTTTTGAGGCAATTGCTTCAAAAATCTTGCCTAACTTTAGTTAACTAACTGGAGTAACAGTTATCCAGCTTATTGTTTTTAGAGATTGTATTCAGTACTTCTGTACTGATTATACAGCATGTAAGTGTTTTTTGTGTTATTGACTTCATTAATTGTGTTTGTCTGCAAACATTCCCATCTAACCTTGAGAAAATTGGAGTGGAGGCCTAAGAGTTTTAAAGTATATTCTTTTTTTATCCATGTTGTATACTTGGAAGTCTAATTCTTCAATATTCATCTGCTTACATGAGAAAAATGTGATATATTTGCTATCGTTTTAAGAGCAAGCTGTATTTGGTAGGACCACTTTGTGCACTGCCAGAGACAAGGGTCTGCTTACTTTGTTTCTCCTGCTTTTGGAACGACTGAGTGAAAAGGGGGAGTTGGATGTTTCCCTCATGACTAGTCTGTTTCATGCTGATCCACGTGACAAATTAGAGCCCCTATGCAAGTTAGCAGTTTTGAGCATCAATTTTATTGTTAAATTCTTTAGAATATGTTTTAAAATATTTTTTTATTGTAAGTGGTAGCTGAATTTTTGCAATCAGAAGAATTTGATGGTTTCACTGAATAAAAAATAAAGCGTTAAAATGGTGTTGGAATGTTATGAAATATATTACTTCACAGACTTTGTGTTTGAGTACAACGTAAGCTTTTTTTGCTTTTTAGGCAGTGGACTTAAAACTAAAATATAGCTGCACTTGCATTTATTATATTGAACACAAGTGTCTGATTTTTGATTTTGTAGTACTGTGTATGGATTTGGTTTTATTTTTTACTAGCCCTCAGACAATACTTATGTATAAGAATAGATAATTCCTTTGAATTACAGATGTTAGCTGCTAGGAAATGCTGTTGGGTTGGAGTTTTATAAAGGTGTTTTTATGTAAAATGTTCTATTTCCTTTTCTGGACCTCGAGAAAGATCAAGCATTCAGGCTGTGTTGACAGCTTCTAGTAAAGACTGTAATTTGTAAATACCGTCACCTGCGACTTTTATTTCCACCTGAAGAAGTATCTGCAGTAGTCTAAATTAAAGATTACAGAAAGGCTATACTTGCTGTTAATGGAAATTTGTGTCACCCTGCTCAGCGGTAAAATCACAGATTAATGATGGCTGTTGGAAGTGTAGGCAACTTGGTTTTTAGTTTATTTTTCTCCTCTAAACAGCTAAACATACCAAGGAAAAGGAGCATCTCTGTCTGAGGAGCTAGAAATGGAGAAAGCATTTCAGTGGTCAAATGCAAGCAAAAGCTGAACTGACATCTTGTTTTCAGTTTCCATGCAGCCATTGTAGAAAGGCATTTTTTATTCTTATTTATTTCCAAACTTTCAATTTGGGCAGCTGTTGAGAAACTCTGAATTCTGGTGAAAGAAAAGAATGAAGTTTTTCTGTGCCACTCTATGGAGGAAGTGTGTCTGGGACAGTGTGTCTGGGACGTTTCTTCCCCTGTTGCTGCAGGTTCCTCTTTTCCTAGAGTAAGGGAAGGTTGAACACAGTACTCCAGAGAGCTGAAAGTTGAGCAGTTTCAATACTGTACCACTTTTCTTCTTAACAATACAGAAGTAGATTTCCTTCAATTTGTTTTAAATACAGTTGGAATTTCAGTGTGTTGTTGTAATTGATGCAGGCATCCATTGGGTTTCTACTTTGCAAGCAATCCATTTTTGTTGTTTCTCACTCTAAACGGGCATCACATTGCAACCAGAGCAGGTTGCAGTCTGTTGTGGCCCAGAGACAGACGTGACCAGTGGCATACTGTAATCAGAGAATAAAACTTAGTTTGGGACTCTGTTCCCAATTGGTTGTAACCACAGTTTTCCTCTTGGTAGCATGTGTAGGGATTCTGACTGAGTAGTCCTACTTATTTTTGTGAAATCTGGATCTGTCATGTCATGATCATAAATCTTCTCTAATGTCTAAAATGACACACTTTACTGTAAGAGCATGCAAACTGATGATTCAACAGGGAGTGAAGAGAGAGAGAATAAAGTAAAATAAGGAGAGGATAAATTACAGCAAGCATAAATAGGCTTACATGTCTAATTTCCAATGACGGAGATCGGAAGATAAACGATTTTACCTTTAAGTGGGAATTCTTGATCCTTAAATGCTGTGGTTTAGGGGAGTTCTGGTAGTTTTCAGTTTTCTATTTCACTTAGTCTTCAGCAGTTTAAAAAAAAAAATTGTTTGGTCTTTAGGCTTTTATTTTACAGGAATTAACTGTAAAATAGCAAGCATATAGTGTAGGTTTCTAGCTCTTTCTTACTGTGTTTTTGAAACTATTTAATGTTAAAGATAATTGGTTTCAAATGCTTGCAGCAATGAAAATTGTTGGTGAAGCTTTATATATTTTGCCAAGAAAGATTCAGGGGCTGTAATACAACCAATGCTTTACTCTGAAGGCCTGTGTAGCACTAGAGATTAGTAGCGCTGTTCTGTTGTTAGACCACTGCAGCCAACAAAAGCCTCTCATTAATTGGAGCTGGGTAAACAGCAAATTAGAGAAAGGAACAGGCAAAATTTTTATGGCATGCATTTTTAATGGCATAAAAATTCCAAGAACATGAAAAACCTCAGCCAGCACCACTGTAAGAAAATGCACAAGGCAATGATTTGAGCATATGGGAAGCACACTTCTTTAGATCAAGCGTCAAAAAAAAAACCAAAACATATTTGCTACATTTTCTTATATCAATTTTCATTACTGTCACAACTCTCTTAAATCACTGGCTAGATTCTGGTTAAATTTAATGAAAGCAGTTTTCAGCAAATAAAACTTTTTTCTTTTTTTTTCCCACCATAGAATTCCTTAGCTCATCTCATGTGCTGACCCAGTAAGCCAAGTTTACTTTGTTACTGAAGCAGTTATTCTTTTTGTTATGATAAGATCAGAAGACCTGCTGCTAAGAATAATTTCCTGGTGCTTATATTGCTCATAATTCAGGTCCTGTGTAACTTTATTTCTTTCAAAGACTGAAGCCTTAAAACTATTGGACTGCATGCTAGGTCTGCAAATGCATAAAGCCACTGATGTATAACAGAAGACAAGTGTGTGTGAATGAAAGCTTAATGTTACTATATTTCAAATAAGCTCTTGACTTTTATCTAAACAGATTTCTCTGCGGTTTTGGAGCTTAATGTCTTTTCTCCACTTACTTTGAATGAAGTGTAAACTGTAAATTAATTAAGGTTAATAAATGTGCATTAGCGTCTGTATGAGGTCTGGTTCTACTAGTGAAGAATACTCCTTAGTTATTTTTCCTCCTTAATGTGATCATAAGTATTACTGAATCTCTGTGAAGAGAGAGCCTGTCTAAACCTCCAATATAATGGTCCTCCAGAAATGCATTTTTTCCTTCTTGCCGTTATTTAGTTATCCTGTTTCAAGCAGGCATATTATCAGAAAACTACATTAGCAGTTACTCTTAGAATACTCATCTCAGTATATCAGCCCTCGTTGCACAGGATATGAATTACTTATTTGGGTGTTGTACAACACTTGTATTTCTTTTTCTGACATACTTCCAACATGTGCTTCATAAATAAGTGTCTGTGAAAAGTGAACAGTTGAAAATATCATCATCAGGTTCACAAATTTGCAGTGCTGATGGTGTGATGGTGGATTGTTTCTGTCTCACTCACTCAGTTCATTGCCTTGAGAATTTATCTGGTGCAGTGGTTCATGGAGAGGAAAGTTGTACTGCTTCCACAACTGTGCCACATGTCCTCAAACTACTGCAACCCAGTTTGCTGTAGAGTAATGTTTTTGCTGTTGAGGCCCAAAGGATGGAGTTCCCCAACTCCTCTGTGTTTATTTGCATCTGCAATTCTTTGTATTAAACTTATACTTGAATAATGCATGCACTGGCTTAAAAAAAAAACTTTTTTGTTTCTTCCAGTATTCAATCTGCAGTGAGCCTTTAATTGAATTGTCCAATCCAGGTGCCAGTGGGTCCTTATTTTTTGTAACTAGTGATGACGAGTTCATCATCAAAACAGTTCAACACAAAGAGGCTGAGTTTCTTCAGAAGCTCTTGCCAGGTTATTATATGGTAAGTAATTTTTTTCATCTTTATATTCATTACCTATATGTGTGCAGTTTTACATCACCCTTCTAAGGATTGGAAGTCATCATTTGATGACTTTATCCATATTTTTCATAATATTCTTTTACCTTTCCAATTTGTACTCCCACATCCATCCGAAAGAATGCATTTAAGATAATAGTTGTTATTCTCTTAGCATTCAAGATGAAGCTGAACATCATCTAAAATGCTACCAAACTTTGCTTCTAACAAGTTAGTAACAAAAAAGACTTCTAAATTTCTAATTCAACTTTTTTTCTCCATTTTTTTTTTTTGTTTGTCTACCCTCTGCATTTCACTCAGAGTGGACAAAGAGACTAGACCGGTTAGTTTCTCTTTTGTTTCTGGACTACTTCAGTTTCTCATGTATTAAAACAATGATGTTAAAAGTATTCTTACCAAAATAATTTGTTCAATACCTAAGTTTTAAGTAGAACCTTTTTGAAAACTAACGCTAAGTTGATTGTATTGTTCTATGTGTGTCAGGCATTAGAAACAGAAATCATCAATCCAAAATAAATTAAAAAGTTCTCCTTTTTTCAACAAAAACTACTCAGTGTGCATATAAACAGAGATTCTTCTGGGTTGTATATAAGACTCTGGAATATAACACCTGTAATTATTGTTAGCCAGATTTTCTTTTCCTTTGTTTTCTTAAGCAAGCACTTAATGTTATCTTCTTGCTTGTACTAAGAATAAGGAATGTAGGGAGCCTACAAACAGGAGGGGAATCAACTCTTTGAAAGGGTAGATAACAGCAGGACAAGGGGTTTGAAGTTGAGGGAGGGAATATTTAAATTAGGTGTCGGGGAAGTTCTTTACAGAGAGAGTGGTGAGATGCTGGAATAGGCTTCCCAGAGAGTTTGTGGATGCCCCATCCCTAGGGTTCAAGGGCGGGTTAGATGGGGCCCTGGGCAGCCTGGTCTAGCATTAAATGAGGAGATTGGTGGCCCTGCATGTGGAGGGGGGTTGGAGATTCATGATCCTTGAGGTCCCTTCCAACCCTGGACATTTTATGATTCTGTGAATATAATCATGATTACAGTAACGTAATAGGGATTCAGTGTTTGTTTAAGAAAACTGATGCAGTGATAGCATTAAAAAAACCCTACGATGGCAAGGTACACCTTTTTCTTGTTTGTAATCAGGATAATCAGCTCAGCGTAAGTTTGAGTTGAGCATTACTGCAAGTAAATGTAAGACCACTTTTCTTTTTTTCTAGGAACTGAATTCTTGCTCTTAACATATGCAAGGATTTCCAAAATGTAAAGCTTTAAACACCCTATTTCCATGAAAGCAGTTTGTTCCCATAGGTATATATTCTAACTTTCTAATAGTGCAAGACTTGAAGTAGTTTTTCCCTTTCTTATGTTTCCATGCCAAAAACTGAGAGTAGTTGCATTCAGAAGGATGATTTTTACTCTTGCCTCTCTTGTAATCTCCAACTATTTTGATGGTATGTCATGATTCTGTAATGACCTCAGACTCGTGTGGAGACAACCTGATCATTTGGCACTAACTTTCATAATGAAAAGCCTCATGGAGACAGAGATTCTTTTTCAGAATCCAAGTTAGGGCAGTTGACCCAAACTTCTTCCCACATGTGAAATGCAAAGGTTATTTAGATCAAAACAATGAAGTAAATCTTTGGGTTATGTTTAGGCCAGCCATTAGCCCAGTCTACACTTCCATGGGATGTGGGAAGGAGAAACTTGCTATACATGCAGAATCAGAGATGCATTCATATTTGTCAGAACAGTGCATGTCAGGAAGTGTGACTGTGGCAGTTCAAACTAAACTGGAACCACCTGTCAAGAGGCAATGTGTGTTGGTAGCAGCATCTGATTTTTTTTTTCTTCCAAGACTTGTGTTTAGCCTTTACATCAAAAGACAGCATGGTTACATGAAGACTCGGAGCATCACAGGAGGTTTGTTTTGTGGTAGACCTCTCACTTCTAGTTTCTTCTCAGAATAGTGTATTGTGTTTAAGAAAGTCAATTGCTCAAGGAAACTGCACTTAATAGGAAAATCTGTTCTGTTCTCTTTGCTCTTTGTTTACTGTCCTTTGGCATAAAAATAACTTTCTTAAGCATGTTCATTCTTCTAAATAAACATATTTAAATGTATCTCTTTTGTTCTAGAATCTGAACCAGAATCCAAGAACGCTTCTACCCAAATTTTATGGGCTATACTGTGTTCAGTCAGGAGGCATCAATATTAGAATTGTTGTAATGAACAATGTTTTGCCACGAGCCTTGAAGATGCATTTCACGTATGACTTGAAAGGCTCCACATATAAACGGAGAGCATCAAGAAAAGAGAGGGAGAAGTCCAACCCAACATTCAAAGACTTGGATTTCTTGCAAGACATGCATGAAGGGTTGTATTTTGACTCTGAAACTCACAGCGCACTAATGAAAACATTACAGCGGGATTGTCGAGTGAGTAAGATTTATTGACTATAGCATCTTTTCTGTTCATGTCTATTCTAGATTTAGTTCTGCAAAACAAGGACAGTATATAACTCTCTATATTGTTTAATCTGCCAGGTCCCTCTCCATCCAATTTAATTAGAATGTCAAAGCACTGATGAAAACTGTGTTTTAGTTATTAGGATTTAAGACCCATTTTTGGAAATATAGCTAAATCTAGGAGAATAGCTCAATAGAGTATTTCTTCTTATTATTACTGTTTTCCATTACTTTGAAGTTTCTAATGAATCTTTCCTGATGCTCAGCAAACAGACCAGTAGTACTGTCATTTGGTAAAATAGAAGAGTGTTTAAAGTTGCAGGCTCAAGACTGCTTTGGTGGGTCTGTCTCATTCTAAGTGGATAGAAGGCAATAAACTTGAATAATGGAGACGTGTCTTGTGACAGCAGTCTTAGTTCTAGAGCAGAGTAATTTCCCATGCTGTAAGATACTGTTTGATGTCCATGTAAGATTTGTGAGATAGGGAGAGATGTCTGCCATTGTGAAGCCAGTGAGTGATATCAGTGTCTCTTGTAGGCAGAATTGTTTTTAAAAGTTATTTATTTATTTATTTATTTATTTATTTATTTTGGTAGGAAAAGTTTTTTTAAAAAAAAAAAGATGGAAAAAAGAGGAGCTATTCAGTTCCCACAGAGATCCAAAAGAATCAAAGGGGGTTGCAGAAAGAAAAGACGTACTTAATAATTTTTGGTGATAAAACAGAGAAATGCATTGACTGAGGAAGGTATAGAAAAGGCATCCTGAACATCACTTAATTGTTCATTGCCACTTGTGTTGCAAGATGGAAAGTGTTTTCTTTTTGCACATGAATGGTACTTTTTGTTTAATTAAACAAAACCCTGCAATGTCTTGTGCTTGATTTGTAAAGCTGGGTGACCTAATGTTCAGCTGCATATTCAGCATTAGACATCTATCTAACATCGTGCATTGTTCTTTTTGTAGCCTCTTGCATTGAGCATTTCCTGAGCTCCTGCCATGTGTGATAAAGCAGAATGCATCAGCATTCTGGACACCCTTTTGTGCACCCTCCTTCACTTGAAGGTTATTTACCCAGGCAAAGCTTAGAAGATAACCTGTTACAGAGAGTATAATAAACAGAATTTTAAAAGGCGTTAAAAAGTTGAAAAGTGAAAGCAGGAATTGATAGTTTACTTGTTGTTATGAAGGAGGATTCTCCCAGCTTTGTTAGAAACTATTTGTAAAATCTTGGCATGTGTTACTTGAGAGCTCTGTGGAACATCAGAGCCAGTAAGCAACACTTTTATTCTTGCTTTTTTAATATTAATGTCCCCAGCTGGTAACTACTCCTGGAGCCATATCACTAAGCAAGAAGCCTGGCTGACCTTTCTACTGGCAACAGAGAATGTGATGAGGAACTGCCTTATCTGTGCCTGCTGTCACAGGCACACCCAACTCAGCAGCAAACTGGCATTTTCCTTGGTCAGCTTTTTGGTGCCATTTTAGCTGTAGAAACTCTTCTTGCTGCCCTTGACACCTTCTAAACACCTCACCTCTAGCAGACTGTTAGTTTCACTAATGAATGCAGTCTCTGCTTGCACACGGCATGTGTCTCAGTTCCTTTTTTGTGTTCTACATCCAGCTCTGGTGTTCCACACTTGTCAAGATGGTAGGAACTGAAAGCTGTATTCACATACTTTTTTGTGCTTTTTGCATCCTAACTAAATGAAAAATTGTGATATTACAGTGTTCATAAGGATGTAATATTCTTCAATTCATGGTGCAGGACAATAAGTACAGTTGGAAATTTGAACTAGTTTTCAAATTCCAGACTGTCATGGAGATTTAGTATAGCTACCATATTCTTGTGAGCAGGCACTATTGTAGTGACTGGGAGCTGGGATGGAATGCAGCCATATAGTGCTACTGATGCATGTTCTACTGGCCTGAACTTCGCTGCCAATGTTTTCTTTGAAGCCTTATTCATCTCAAGTTTCTCAAGCCAACATGCCTGTTTTTTATATAATGGTAAATACTGAGAGTATCAAAAGATAGATGTTTAAATCACTGCTACTTAAACTGTGTTTTATTTGTAGTAATCCTGCTGTTAGTTATGCTGATTACTGTATCAAACTGTAAGCTACTAAAAACAAAGTGAATTCTCAAATTTTCAAATAAAATTCCATTCTGACAAATATCAACAGAAACTGTTTACTCAGGATGAGATAAAGATAGCAGATAAAGATAGCTTTAAGCAGATTCTAAGTAAAACCAAGATCAGTGAAGACAGTTTAAGGTGCGTTGTTTGGTCTTGTTTTGTTAAAGATACACAAAATCGAACTCCACTTCAAACTTTTCTCTGTGTTTTCGTATAAACATCTAATCCCACAGGAATTCTTTGTGGATGAATACTTATATAGAGATTATGGATAAGCAATGTCACTAACTGAATCTTTAGGTACAAGTACCATGAGCATGTTTCAGTTTGTGAAAGAAAGGCTAGAACTGAATTAACTGTAGTGTTTTGTTGTACATAGGTGCTACCAAATCAAAGTAAATATAGTCATCCATTATTGTGTGCTTGATCTTTACATAAGGTCTTAAGTAATTTCATAAGTGCAAACTACCTGTTTTCTGGGTAGAACGCATATGAGAAGATACCAGGCATGTTCTCAGGTACCAGGAATTACAGTCTTAACACGTAAGAAAGGTTGCCTTTTGAACTTCATATATAAAAAAATAAAGAATTCTATAGGTAAGTGTTGATCTGAAGGAAGAAAGAAGACCCCTTTTAAAACAGACAGTGTTGTGATTATTCAGAGACAGTTTCCTATAAGCTCATCTAGATACCTAACAAAGCACAACTAGCATAACTTTAAATAAAAAACATGAATTTCAGGAGAATAGATAGTCATCGATTTTTTTTTTTCTTGTAAGTCTTTGCTTCATGTGCTTGCACATATGCAGTATGCCCTTGAATGTCAGCTAGTCACATGCAGAAATTTAGATGTCCTATTAAATACAGCTTGGTGGTGTTTTTCTTTTCCACCTGCTGCTGAATCCAAGAGAAAACAAATAAGGGCTAATTAAAGGTGTGTATGTCAGCACAGTTGACTGTAGTAATTGGTCATATGGAAGAAATTCTTCCAAGCAGTGTTCTTTTGCTCTTTACTTTGCTGTTAGTGTCTGCGCAGTAAGATGCTAATGTATGTGCTATGATAACTTCCTTTTGTCAGTAAGAATATAACTCCCAGTATTTCTCCTTCCTCTCGCATAACACTTTTCAGTTTATATAAATACTGGTGACAAAAAAACTGTCTATGAAAATTGAACGGCACTTGTTTATCCTGAGGTTAAAATTCCCCAGGGAAACTGCAAAGACATTATATTCTAAAAACTAACATTAAGATTCATTCTACTTCTACTTTAAAAGAGGGAATGAAGAAAACAAGACAGTGTTTATAAGAGCACTAGTGATCTTCATGTGTTAATTTCAGAGTGGCTTTTGTTCTCCTAGTGAAGCATATTAAGAAGCTCACCTAGAAGTTCAGAATTTATTCTTCTCAGCGACCTTAGTGGGCCTGTCATTTAAATAACACAGTCTGATAGACAAGTCAGCTCACTCCAAATCCAGGGTTTTTTGTTTTGCATTAAATGATTAGTTTTTCAGTAGGAAGATGGTTTATTTTTTAAGTTTTCAATTGAAGTGCTAGTGACTTAAGAATAGGCAAAGTATGCCTGGAGATACTGTGTGTTTTATGATTTCACTGGGAATATGTCTTCTGAATTCTGGAAAAATAACATTTTTCTCAGTAAATACAGCAATAACTAAAACTGAGATTCAAGTAATCTTTCATTCTTCATCCCTTTCCTTAAGGTGTTTTACTGCAGTTGAGGAAACAAAAAAACATTCCTAAGAATTAATATGAAGACTTGCAGTGATCCCTCTTTGAAGGAGTACTTTATTTCTTCCTTGTATTTTTTGCATTAAAAAAAGAAGTCAGGAGAGTATCTGGGTGTTCCATAGGAATATTGTGACTATTACTTTGCTAATATTTCTGTGCTATCTATAATCTGTAGTACGAAAAACTTCTGAATGCCATTTTTCATTGCTGGTCAGAGTAGGCTTCAAGTCACGCTTGTTTGTTTTGTTATTCTTTCCCACTGCCTAGCATTTTTCAAGATTTTAGGGCAAAATGCATTACTACTAAGATTTTAAAGTAGAATTGCAAACTAAATGACTGAGTTTAGCTTCCTGTATTAGAAGATTTCCCTTCTGATAATTTTAAATGGAAACTAAGCCTGCTTATTCTGAAGTTGCACTTCAATAAAACTACTTCTTTTTAGTTTGATGCAACATCACCTGCATTGGACATTTGCACACTTGTTTCTGAGAGTGCATATTTTAGTGAGATAGTCTTTTCTTCTGTGTTTTTTGGTATTTCTTAAAAACAAACAAACAAAAAAAACACTTTTAATTATGTTGAAATGTGATCATTAATTGTTACATTCATCTTATTTCTGTTATACTGGTTATCATGCCCCTTTTCTGAAACTCTCAGAGGAGAGAAAAAACCTGATTTTGTGGTTAACCTTACAAGTTTTTTCTTTTCATAAACTTACAAAATTATCTTTTTCTAAGTAGTATTTTCTTTGTTTCTGTGAAAATTGCAAGAGCTTTTGTGGTTAGCAGCATGAACAGAGATTTTGCTGTCAGTACATACTTTGGGCTGTATGTGGTATAAAAATGAAATTACATAGCAGAAATATGTGCTTGGTTGTTAGTCACTGGCTGAGCTTGTTCATTGTGACCTTGTCTAAGATGACTCATGGAACACTTTAACATCTGATTAGCTGAGAAAAGAGAAAATCTGATTCAAGGAGTTATTTTTCCTTGTTCAAAAGCAATTTATTTTGAGATGCAGCTTGACTGGGTTTTTATATAGTATGAAGACAAGGTAGTGCTTAAGGCTGGAAGGCTGAGAGGCTTACCAGCTGGAGGTTTCTGGTAAGCACTGCTTACAAACAAGTGCATGGCAAGAACATTCATCTCTCATTAACAAACACAAGAATGTTCTTGCAGAACTTTCTCAATACCGCTTTGTTAGCAGGGCACATCTCAGAGTGGTTACATGAATAAATATTGGGTTTTTGACTTTTCCTTCGCAAGGAACACAAGGTTTCTGAGAATTAATATCAATTTCTAGCAATGCCATCTGGCTGGCATCATGTGCTTTCTCATTTTGCTGGGAATACATGCCTTTATAGAACTGATTTCTTTTAGGATTCTTTTTATTTTTTTTGGTGTCTTGTTTTTGTTTTTTGGGTTTTTTTGCAATAGATTAGGAACTCATTTCAGTACCTTTATAGCAAAAACTTGATACTGCTTATGAAAAATAGTTAGAATAGCAGAATACCTTCCTGTTTTTCTGGTGTTTCTTTCCAGTAGTTTTTAGAACAAAATAGTAAGCTGTCAAAAAGATTATCTGTCCATTGTACAACAAAAGCACTATGGGTTTTAGTGGCAATGATGAATTGATGTAGTCAGAAAGATTAATTTTATTATGTAAGAGGTCTATCCCTTTGGAATAGGGACCACCACGTGATACCATAGTTTTCCATGAGGCTGCATCAAATCCTAAATGTGGATAATGAATTAATGCAATTAAATCATAGTGACTCTAATGTAATCTAATTAGAGAGTGAGTAAGGAATAGGTTGAAGGCAGAACTGCCAGGTATTATAAATGTAAAAAGGTGATAATGCTTTTTTGCAAACTTGACAAGCTGGTGAAATCTGGCTTTGCATAGATAGTGTTATTAGCTATTCTGTTGTGGTAATGTTATTGAGGATGAATTGTGTTTTTTGTTTTGGTATTTTTTTTTCAGCCAGCACAGAAACTAATTGAGTATGTGGTGGCAGACTTCTACTGATTGCATATTTTTAGTGGCTGCATTATATAATAATGCGTATGAGAAAAGCTTAGTAACTAGCAAATGGTAAGGGAAATTCTAGGATTTATTTGATGCCAAGTGTCTGGGCTTTCACATCTGTTTGTTGTGCTATTCTTGCAGTTTGTGATTATAAAACAGGAAGTTAATAGCCACCAACACACAGTGAGCAATAACATTTCCTTATGCTGTCACATGGTAATTTAAAATATACTTTTCTTGCATCCTGAAAGAGTTCTGTTTTTGGAAGATGCTCTGGAGTACTAATAGCCATACCTATGGCATTTTTCTTGTCCCATTCACCACTAGCCTGCCATCGTGCGGGATACTCTGAGCAAGTTCAAATTTACCATATTGTTTAATCTCATTCTTTTTCTCTGGAAATCAGTATGAGCCTATGCCTTTCCTCACTTAGGTTACTTTGTGTTATGCTTGCTTTCTTCACCTTACATACCAACAGTGATGCAAAAATTAAACTGTAGTCTCATGGAAACAAATACCAGAGGTGGGAAAGAATTCAGCTTCTAGTTACTTTGACAAGTACATAAGAAATATAAACAGAGTGTAAAGGAGCCTTCCTACCTCTTTGCATATATTTGATCATTGAAGTTAAAATTCTCTTTGGAGATCGGTATTAAGTAGTAGACTACTTTTTCCTTATACAAATTCACAGACTATTAAATGTTTCCTGGAGGTTGCCAACAAATGTCATTTTGGATTTGCAATATGTCATAGTGTTCACATGCCAACTCAGTGTTTTGCTTAAAAATATTTGTGCTTTCAGTTAGCTGACAGTAAGTCAGCTCTTAACATCAGGAGTCAACCCTTAACATAGAGAGTTTCTGCTCTTTGTCGTCACTATAAAATAATCACATTTTGTTCCCATTGAGGTAAAAAGATGTACTACTACCTCTTAATTCAGACAAAATTACACCTTTGCATTGGGCATTTTGTGCTAAAACTTACCATAAATCATTGCTGAGATGAATGAATGGAAGGAAAGTTAAATGGCACTGCAAATTTTCCCATTGCTACTATTTCTCTCCTTCCACGTAGCACTGTCATTATCGGGGGTAGTAATCCAGACCCTTTCTACTAACATTTTTGTTACGCTGCTAGCTGTGATTACAGCTTGTTTTACTTTATGCTCACACATTGACTTGAATATATTGCCTTTTAATGGAGGTATGACAGATCTCATAATGATGTCACTGACTAGAAATATATGGTATGCATGCATTAGAGAAGAAGGCTCTGAGAGAGCAGTACCAAGTGGTTTTCATGACATTGGAAATGCTTCAGGAATACTTTTTGAGTTAAAACAGGAAGTGGAGAAGAGAGTGCTACTTTAGCATAGGCACAATTTCTCCTTAAAGAACCTGGAACAGGAAATAGAGTTATGTGTAGTTCTTAAGTATATAGTGGAACTTTTAATTCTTTTTTTTTCTATAAATAAAAAAGAGTGAATGTATCTTTCTTGATTACAGAGCATCATTGTTACATTTGTTTTGTATATTTCTTTTGTCAGGTATTAAGAGATAATAAGATAACTAGCGTTTAACTTTATGGAGTAGTAAAAGATTATTTTTAGGGCTCTTATTGCATGTTTTCCCAATCAAGGAAAAGTGTGCTGTGAAGGCTTGTTCTTACTGAGGTTCTCAAAATGCTGCTGTGTAACACAATTTTATGTAGCCTTTTCTCGTTTCGCTGCAGCCAGTTCTTCTTTGTTCATAGGTTCTAGAAAGCTTTAAGATCATGGATTACAGTCTGTTACTGGGAATACACATACTGAACAGTAACATGAGAGAAAAAGAGGGTGAGTGCTCCCAGAACGCATCTGATGGGAAACGTCCTGGAGGGCAGAAAGTTCTCTATTCCACAGCCATGGAGTCTATACAGGGGCCTGGGAAGTCAGGGGACTCTGTTGTAACAGAGACAACGAACACGTAAGTGCCATACCATGCTCTTAATGTTGACATTAAAAGTTCTTCAGTCAGTGTCACATGATATTTATTGGGAAAACATTCAAGACTCATTTGTATTTCAGGAATTGAAAGATTTTGCATTTTTACTTTTTCAAAGCTTCACAATCAAGACTTGCTGGAGGCTGAGAAGTAAAAATGTTGAGTAGTTGACTGATACCTTTAAACAGCTGATTGCAAATATTGTTAGTTTCATTTATAAAAGAAATGTCCTGAGGCAACCATTGTAAGAGGCCCAGATATAAACTAGTCTTAACTAAAAACAGCCTGATGAGCCATAAGTAAAAACTATTAACACTGAAATGTTTCTGTAGTGTTTTCTTTTGATATTAAAGTAGCATACTCAATACGCAGGATTGTATAATCACTGCTGAAGTGCAGTCATATTCATATACACTATTTCTTGAGATTGAGAATGGCTGCTTTTCTCTTATATTTCTGTATTACAAAAACTGCAGTAATAATGTATTCATATAGATAGTTGTTCTTTCTTTTGCTTCCTTTGAAATACATCCATTATCAGTGAGGATATTATGATCACCATTCTTAATCTTTGTAGTCAATTCTTGAGTATAATGAGGGTTTAATTGCATATTAGAAGGACTTTTCTCACAGCTTTTGAGGGAGGTGTCTGTGTAAATACAATTAACAGTATGAAAGTGTGTTTAAACCTACAGCAGACAAATGGGAGAATCATGGTACTTTGCATTTATAGAGTTTCCAGATGTTCTGAGGTCTAGAATATAAATTAGACAAAAAGCTGGATTTCATTCAGGTTTTTGCAGCGTAACTTTTACACAGGGCATGATGAATGCTGTTGTATGATTACAGAGGTGTTGCACCAGCCCTTTTGGCGGGGGGTGTTCGTTTTTGGTTTTGGTTTGTGTTATTGGCTTTTCTTCTTTTTTCATTTTTTACTTAAAGATACAGCTCATTACATAGGTCATCCAAGAAAGCTCCTGTGGTTACTATGTACGGGAGACAAGGCGTCATGTAGCGGTGAAGATATTGGGTGCTACTCAGATAATGAGAAGTGCAGTATTGCTGCTGAAAGCCCAGTGCATTTCTATCCACAAATCACCCCCAAATGCACCTTGTTTGTGATAAGTATGTACCAGGCTATCTAAAGTACGTTAAACTTGCCATTTCAAATCAGTTCTGTGCTAAGTGAGCTACATCTGAATTTGCATCTGAATGTGGCATGAGCTTTGAAATTGTCTTATTTCTTTGGATTTGTAGGTAGGTACAGTTAACCTACAAAGCAACAGTCAGAGATTCTAACTACATTTTTATTGTTTCTGTCAGAATGGGAGGTATTCCAGCTAAAAGCCATAAAGGAGAAAAGCTGCTTCTATTCATGGGGATTATTGATATTCTGCAGTCTTACAGGTAAATGGCAATTGAATGTCATACTTTTACTGAATAAAATATTTTGAAATTACTTACAAATGTGGACATTTTATAGAGCAGTTCTGACTGTTTTTTTGTGTACTTAGGTTAATGAAGAAGCTGGAACATTCATGGAAAGCTCTTGTTTATGATGGGGTAAATGTTTTTGGTTTGGGTTTATTTTTTTATTAAAAGTAATTTAACTTTGTTTTCTGTTATACCAGAGTTCTCTCTTGCCTGGTTATTTGTAGACTACCATCACCTTATCATCTAAACTGTTTCTGAAATCTTTTAGGTTGCTCTTAATCCATGCTCTGATTTTTTGTTGACCTTTCAAAAAGCAGGTAAAGTGATCTTGCCTTTGTGTCTTACACAGGACAGTGGCCATTAGCAAGACATTAAAAAAACTCATGTGTTCTGAAAAATATCATTTTCAAATTCTGCAGAGATTTTGCAGAACATAGCTATTTAAGTTTGAACTCATAATTTCATGAATGTAATACTTTTACCTAGAGCTATCTTTCCTTAAAGGAAATAATTGCTGGGGCTTTGTTGCTTTGAGTAGACCAGAAAAATGTGGTACTGTTTACCCGATGTGTTGAACTTTCATCTTGACAGTATAATTTTGATTTTTTTATAGAAAATGTGACTAAGACCTTTTTCAATCTTGCAGGATACAGTTTCAGTTCACAGACCAAGTTTTTATGCTGATAGATTTTTAAAATTTATGAATACAAGAGTTTTCAAGAAAGTTCAAGGTAAGGGAATAGTTGAGTTTGCTCTTGTAGTCATTTTCATAATCATTATTTTGTAACACTTCTGTTCTGGTAATAAAAGAATCCTTTCTACAGGATCGTGTAGCACTTACATTAGCAGAACTTGAGGTCTTTCATTAGAGATAGTGGGATTGTACCCTGGTAGCAGAATTATGTATTTGCTATGTGTTTTTTTTGCTGTATAAAGGGACGTCTGGAGATAAGATAGGTTTCTGTGTATTGACATTGATAGAAAGATAAATTTTGTGAGCTATGAGTCTTGTCCTGCTTCTGTTCATAGCAGTACCCCCAGTGCTTTGTTTAATGTGAATAAGTAAAGATTGATGAAATACCATCTTCAACGTGTTTGAATGTAGGCAGTCTTCCCTTTGATATGGATTTCTTATGTACTTCGTCAAGAAAGAAACGGAAAGTTGGATATTAACTAAGTCTTTCATCTTTATTTCTTGTTTCTACTTCTTGCCTCCATTTCCCCTTTCCTTTCCTTAACACTTGTATTCATTCTCAGGGGCAAGATGCAAACCATTAATAGGTATTTACAAGAGAAAGAAAATGCCAATAGAAACCCACCATCACAGCAGAGGAATATCACTACCAAGAGTTATCCAAACATTTCAGTTTTTAATATTTCAGCAATAATTTAACTTCTTACTATTGTAACTTCTCAGAAATGAAATGAATTGTTAATGTAATTTAAAGAAGACCATGTAACTGTAGATCCTTTTAGAGAAGGGGGAAAGTGACCCTATGCAGACTCTGAGTGACAAGAAACCAGAGAAGTAAATGATAGGTACTTTGTGAAATTACTAAATAAGAAGACTGAAAAGAGAAAGCTGAGAGCTGACAAACTAAAAGGATAGATGATGTACTTTAAGGAGACTGAGGAAATGTTTAGAGGAACAAAAAAACCCATTTAAATTAATTGTAATTAGTGATTCTTCATGTGCAAGCTATGTTGTGACAAGTATTCAGGAAAATAAACTCTTGGAGAGTGTTATAAATACTAATAAAAGGATGGATAATTCTTTTGTGAGTAGGTCATGCTACTGAAAGGAGTTTCAATCTGAATATCAGTTTTAGTTCTGGTTATCAGAGCAATGAGGTTTTTTGATGTTTTTTTTTTTTCCAACAATCTTGGTGGCTAATATTAAAGGTTTTATATGTAAGACATACAGATCAGTTGGTTGCATCCTTACTAACTTCCTGTTTTACTGTGAAATTATTTTTGAAATCTGTGGAGGTGATGAAATTGCAAGTTGTTGTTTATTCTTTTCCATTTGGTAAAAAATTGCACGTTTCTGACACTTATCCTTTAAGAAACAGTGTTCTGTGAGTTTGGGATTTTTTTTAAAGCAGAGTTCTTCACAAGTAAATTTAAATCAACTGGCTGGTTAGAACAATGTAGTTGATAAAGAATCTCATATTCTAGAATGGATCCTGGTTAGCAGTATGCAGTGTAGCAGTTAGCTATCCTGTTCAGCTGTGCATTCATTGGAGGTGAAAGTTGGTGTGTAGAATAGATACTTTGTTCAAATGCTACAGGATTAATGTTGAGCCTATGGCATTGTATCAAGCTGATAGAAGATATTTTGTAAATACCTTTGTGACTAGTGTTAGTCTGGTCTCTCTTAATGTTGTCCTTCGTTATCTGAAAGAAGAAGAATGAAGCCTATATGGAGAAAGGTAGGAAAAAAATTGAAATGAAGGGTCGAAAAAATTGAAATTTAAGCGTAAGGAGGGTGGCTGCAAATTCTTACACAAACACCTTAAGGTGCTAAACAATAAAACCATTGGAACAGGTAAATGACACAGTATGTGAACTTAAAATTATCACTTTATGGCACAACATTGTGATTAATATAAAAATAAGACAGCGAGGAAATATAGTAAAAAAAATTAAATGAAGTTCAGATGAAAGAAATGATCCCCCTGAGGCTGAGATCTCTTAAACTTATGGAATAATTTTGCTAGGCAGCTAAGTTTTATGAGACATTACTCAAAGGCTTTATTATCTGGAACCTTTCCAGTATACACATTCACTGTGCATTTGATTATTTTCAATTCTTTCTGGTTTTGTCTGCTGGATTTATCTCAGTGCAAGATGGGAGCCTTTCTGTATTTGAAAACCATGGTACAAGTACGGGACATGCCTTATTTTCTTGATGATTTTAATTTGTCTGTCTCACTTTTTCAGGCTATTAACCTCTTTCAATATTCTGCTGTTATTGATCTGCATACAAGGCTATAATCTACTTTTATATGGGTTAGTTGTTCAAATACAGTATCATTTTTTTCATTTCAAAAAAAAAGTGTTTCTGTCTTTAGAAACATTGCTTCTCAACTTCAGGCAAGACATTTCAATTTAAGCTCTTAAGCCCTGTTCTGCATATGTACTTTTCCATTAGTGCACAGAATAAGCCTCCATAAATGACTATGGAAATGTAGTAAGAAGATTCATCATTGGTCAGAGACTAGCACAGCACCTATTTTGTTATATATTTTCTTAGCAATATCCTGAAGCCATGCTTCTGATTCCATTCTTCCAAGCATGTGTCAGTCCACAGCCAAGTGGCTTTGATGCCCTTAACTTGAATTTTGTAATAGAGTACACTATAAATTATTCCAGTGCATCTGATATCACTCTTCTGCTTATGCATGAGGATCAGCAGCTGGCAATTAAAAAACACTAACTGAACTAGCTGGCATTCTTCTGACAGAGAACTGTGAACAGAGATCACAATTCAATTGTAGTAACAATGATGAGATTTAGTGTTTCACTCAAAGTGCTGTTTTAAGTGGGAAGGCCCTACTAAGAATTATAACAGGCATTTTCTGAGTATATAAGCCATCAACATTTTGGAAGTGTTTATTTTACCCCAAAAAGTTTAGATTTCACACGTGCCACTGAAGAAATTCTGTAATAGCACATACATCATTATATAGGAATGATTCACAGCTCAAGGAAATGGTCATAACTTTTCAGAAGATACCAAAACTTTTCAGTTTTCCTGTCTTGTTTTCTTCTACGTCAGTCTGTCTCTGAATACACAGTTTGATACATAGGATGCTGATACATAGGAGACTTCTAACAGTGATACAAAGCTTGGTTGACTGATTTGTCTTTTTGTTCCATGATCAGTAGGAAACTCCACAAAGCAAATAAATAAAAGTACTTTGCTCGTAGATGAGTAACCAACCAGTGCCTGTAGGTTTAGTTCTAAGGTATTTGATCAGTGATTTTTGTATCTGGATGTATACAATATATATACAGTCTGATCTGTACCCAGAAACTCTAGCTTTAAGGTGGCTATCTTTCTGTATGCTGTTAAAGATATACAGGACATTGAAGTGACTTAATTCAATACCTGTGTTCATTTGGTAACACAGCTTTAAGGTCTTCACCTTCCAAGAAACGATGCAATTCCATCACAGCCCTTAAGGCAACATCACAAGAAATAGTGTGTGCCGTCAGCCAGGAGTGGAAGGATGAAACGCAAAGCATTATTACTGAAGGACAAAGCTACTCCAGCCTTGATGAGGAAGGTAATACCTTTCAACTCAACAGTCTGAACCACGTTTTTTAAAAGTTTTGTAAAAGCATGAACTAGAACGTCTGGAGTCTGGCTAGTCTTCAGAACTTGAGGTTTGGTTATTCCTGGATACTGCATGGAAAAAGTTCTTTATATATCGAGGTTATATGACCTTAGTTTTCTCCTTGTTTGCAGGAGGTCTTAATTTTTGTCCAATAGCTAGCAGATTAAGGCCAGTGCCAGTGCTATTCCTTTGTCTGATTTCTAAATGAATATGTCACGTTGTTTTCAAGCTCAATTTGTTTGCCCCAGAGTCTTTGAATAGACAGAATTTGCTCCTTTCAGAGATCATTTCCAACCAGATGCAAAGAAGAACCAACCACCTAATCCTGTCTGAAAAGAAGGCTCACATAGTGTGAGAGCAATCCTGGCTCTTAGAAGAATTCATCGTATATTCATACTGCTGTTTAATATTTGTCCCTTTAGTTGCTTTGTATTCCGCTGAATGTACTGACTAGCAGTTGAAATTTGCCTTGTAAGGACTGTGGGTATGGGTGCATCACAATATCATCTATTCAAACATGTTTAGAAGCTTGGAGAACCTAGTAAGAGTACCAGGTAACCCCATATACTTGCATAAAGGCTTCTGGATTCAATCTGAAATGGAAGTTGTTAACGTTATTTTTGTATATTCAGTACTAGGTTCACACCGCCGGCCGGATTTAGTACCAAGCACTCCATCTCTGTTTGAAGCAGCTTCTCTGGCAACCACAATTTCTTCTTCTTCCTTGAATGTGGATGAACGTTATCAACGTGATCAGCCTATGCTCTATTCTAGCAGGTAAATAATTTATTCTAACTTTTTTTTTTATTCTATTCTGTGTTTAGAAGAGGACTCCCCACTGTTCTGATAGAAGTGTGGCAACATGTTCAGTGGGAGGAGGCTCTGCAAAATTAAAATCAGAGTGAGAGATTTTCTGTGTAGACCAGTATTGACCATTACCACTGAAGCAGAACTGCTATAATCCTATTGGATTTAAGTATTTTTCAATACTTCACAAAGTAAAAAGCATAAACTCAGCATAAATGTTAAAGTATGCTTTGAATTTTTTATCATTTTCCAAAACTAAACTAGGCATTGAACACTTACTTAGGCTTTAGTCTGTTCTTCAACCTAAACTGTACTAAGATACACAAGATTGAGAATACTTGTAACTTGACTGCAAAAACAATTTTGTTTTCTAGGGAAAGGAAACTGCTTTGAAGATGATCTTTATTCTGAATGTTCAGTGCTGAATGGTGTGCTTTAAGTTCTTTAGAAGTATTTGCTGAATTTTCTTGAACATTGAACCAGGGAGTGTGACAAGAGCCTATCCAATTTTAGTTCAGGACAGATAAAAATGGGAATGTTTTGATGAAACTTGTGACCTAGCTTGGATACCTTGTAGCATGTCTGCCCAATTCCATTGCTGTGTCAGTAAGGCTTTCTGGGAAGTTTTGTGTACCTGATCTCTACCAAGATATGCCAGAAGAAAAATTTTATATTGTACAGTCTTACCTGCGTGGAGATCTGATTACCATAGGCGATGTCACAAACTAGCAATTTTATCTATTTTGTCAGTATGGGTAGCTGATGTGAAATCAAGCATCTTGAATTTCTCTGTGCTAACTTGAAATCCTGCATTATATAGTATTTATGTAAATTTAGTAAGCAAATTCGTGTGATATAGTTCTTTACTTTGTGTTGTCCAAAAAAATCAAGGCGTTTTACAAGTCGTTTTGAAGCAGTAGAAATTTACTTTCTTATTAAAATGTCATGAGTTGCTTTCATATAAAACATAAAATGGCTTGCAGAGTTCCTTGATCAAAGTGTTACTTAAGGTTTTATTTTCATTAAATTGAAGGAAAGCACACTGTGGCATCTTGCATAAATCTGTTTTGAAAAGTAAAATAAAATCTGAATTAGATATGGTTTGGTGATGTCATAGTTTTGTAACTAAAAACCCAAGTTGTCACACATGTCAAATAACATTACTAATGAATACACATTAGCAGAAATGGAGCTCTTTCAATTTAACTTCTGTAAGCCTTGTCCAATTTGTGGCAGCTGTAGGACTTCAAAATTCCATAGTCTTGAAACAAGTCTTAGCTTTGCTAAAAATAAGGTTGTTAGAGTATTTAGTTTTTCTAATTTTCTGTAAGCATTATATTTTGTATGTATTTTATTATCGTGAAGAACAGTGGAGTTGACTCATTAAAGAGTTCAGATTTACTGCAAATAAAATATTTCAAATACTTTTTACTCTCTACAAATTAATAACAGGGGAAAAGTGTGAGTAAGTTCTTGATTTTTTTTTTTTAATGTAAATATATTCCAAAATTCTTCTAAAGTGAACCAGTTTTTCAGCAAATCTACAATCCAGTATTATGTTTAGATTTGTTGATCTCCAGATGTGAATCAATCAGTTAAATTACCTCAAATGTTACCAGTAATGCAACCTCACCTGTCATTACCTTATAAAATCAGAAGAGGACTGTAGTGTTTGCATTTAGTTCTGTTTTATCAGTACAAAATGACATGCTCTCTATCAGGACAAACCTTGCATCAGTATTCATAGATGTGTGGCTCTCTCCATGTCTTATGTCAAACTGGACCTTGTCCTGTCACCAGGTGATCTTCTTACCACTCAAATCTTGCATCCTCCTTGATCCACCTGTAACTTCTCAGCCAAGTTTGCTAGTGCTGAAACCTTTTTAGCCAAGTTTCCTAATGATAATTTTTTCTCTCAGCCAAGTTCTAATTGATGTCACAATCTGAATACAATTAACAAGGATTAGCTTCTATGTTAGAGCAAATGGCTTTATTTTACAAATTAAGAAAGCTGCTATGTATGCTGAGTACTCATTTCAAGATTAGTAGCTTGGTACCTTCTGCACCAGTGCAGGATGATCCTTCCTCCTTCATGGCACTAAATAATACGTAGTTTTGCTCTGAATGTGCCTCATTTATTTTTATGGAAAATATAACAAATACAAAGAGTACAATAACACTGTTTGGAGCAAATTCTCAGCTACAAAACACCAATCATTTTAACCATAGTCACCATCATTAGCTCTGCATTTTCACCAGTGATGAACAAGAGCCTGCATGCTCCACTCATAACAGCCTGCATGGCTGTACAGAACATGGCTCATCTTTCACATCACTGTCGCCACTGTTGAAATACACCACCCACTGCTTCACTATGCTTACATCCAGTGCTTGATCTGTCAGTGCTCAGCATGTGGTGGTGAGTGGCACCGGTGCTGCACCTTTGCTTCATCCATGCACTTCCTTGTCAGATGCTATTGTGTCAGAGTGCTCCTCTGCTGCCATCTGTCACACAGCAACAACACGTAGTGTAATATTGGTGGGAAGATTCAGCCTCTACTGCCATTCCACCAACTCTGACATTGTAAGCCAACATAATAAAATGGAAGCATTACTTTCAGAGCAGCTCTTGTGAATGCAGCTGAAGCTTATGTGGAGCCCAGTTCTGTGAATAGCAGGGCGGAGGGATCTCGCAAAATCCGCACCTCCAGAAAAGGGAAACAGGGGACCCCGAAGTAATTTAAAAGAGCGGCAATGATCTGAGGAGAAACAAACTGATTTACTAAACATAGTATTGGAATGCAAGATAACACACCATAATACAATATAATTAGAATTGAAGCTAATAAATCAAATATAATGAGAGTGTCCGAAAGGTAGATAGGCCTCACCACAACCCCATGTGAGATGCGCAGTGCAGTTGAGCAGCAGGGAGACGGGAGGAGAGCCGACAAAGAAAAGCGCATCAGGTGACTTTGCCAGGAGTTGTATCTCCTCTCTGTGACTGCAGAGTCCCCTGGGGAATGTAGTTCTTCCGGGCAGGTAACCAGAACTTGAGCATTAACTCCCAGTGCCCCACATGATGTTATGATGTGGAATACCGAAAAACAAAAATCACAAAACCATGACACTGTGCTACCAGGAGAAAAGCTGGTAAGGAAATAAAAATACCAAATAATCATGCCATAATGATGTCTTGAGGCTTAGATGCCTTAAGTTTTTCTCACTGGAGCTCTGTTTTTGAATAACTCAGCACTTTGCCAGTTGTCTTTGATAACATAAAATCCAAAGCAGTCTTTGAAACAAAGACAAAATGAATTATTTGTTTACAAATATGAGCCTGCTTACATTTTTTAAATATGTAATTGACTATGAAATTCTACTCTAAATTATTGACTAGAATTAGCTTGGTATTTTTTTTAGGCTGTTTTCCTTCCCCTTTCAAAGTGTCCTAGCACAAAGTAGAGAGTACAAGAATTTCCTCTTAACCACTCAGCAGTTTCTGTTTTATGATATTGAAAGGAAATAATCCTGTAGTACCAGTACTTATGCATAGGTCCATGATTCCCAGTAGTGCTAATAAGCAATATGTGTCAACACACTGAGAAGACAGGTGCTGTTGTTTGCCTCACTGAAAAAGAGTACCTTGATTACCTTGAGGCACACATTCACATTTTTAACCTTGGTGGTTTTTATTTTTAAATACCTTGTTTGTATCAACCATGAATGTCATCATTTTCTGAGAGGGCTCATTACGTTCTGTTCTTGGAGTTCCTGAGCATCTGTAATGTAAGGAATTGCTGCCAGTGTGGCTAACCAGAGGTGATTTACTGAGCTGGAGCAGGCTCCTGAGACTTCATCATCTGAGGAGAGTTTATCTAATACTGATTTGGCATTGATTAGAACTAGTGTAATTGATAGATAATATGGAGAAGTGTTTGGGGACTAGTTATTATGGAAAAAAGAGAAACTGAGCAGCAGTATATATAAATAGTAATATAAATATAAATATATATATATATAAATAGTATAAATAATAAAAACAGAAATACTGCTTATTGTGAGTGTTTGTCTAGGCTGCTCACTGCTTAATTTTCTCCGAATTATTCCTTGGTCCTTGAGAAATTAGGGAGACTTTAGGTGTTACCCTCACAGTGTGAAGGAGTGGCAGCAGGATAAGTGTGGAGGGGGAAGGTGGCTGTTTTTTCAGCATAGAAGGAACTTCATCTACAAATGGGAAGTAAAAAGGAGAAAATGGACAAATGTCATGTCATATGGTATTCAGCGAGTGTAGGTTTTTTTGGTTGTCAAAAGGCAGCTGGCTTCTGTTCTATGAAGCTGTTTCTTAGTTAAGTGGTTCTATTGTTAGCAAGATCAAGTATTCATTTAGTAAGATAACAGAAGTAACAATATATTACTTCTGTTTAAATTGACAGAGATCTTCTGTTCTTGTTTTTTGTTAGACAATATGTTCAGTTCAATCAAAAACCCAAATAAAAGCCCATGATGTATTAAGGGATATTTTACCTCTCTGTCTTTACAGCTTATGCCAAGGACCTGTGGCTTATAGGAAGGGGAACTGCTGAATAAATCTGACTCGTTTTAGCCTAGGATCTATGTGAAATATAATCTTGTTTCTCTCCTTCTTAATGTATTCTGTACCATCTTATACACATCATACCATATGCATATAAAACGGCCTTCTCTTTCCTCTTTTAATGGAGGAAATGGCCCACTAGAGATGAGCATGGAGGAATGATGGCAGGACTGGGGGCAAAGCAAGGGCTCAGCTGAAGTGTTTCTGTACCATTGCACGCAGTATGGGCAACAAACAGGAGGAGCTGGAAGCCATCATGTGACAGGTAAACTGTGACTTAGTTGCCATTAACAAAATGTGGTGGGACCACTCCTACAATTGGAGTGCTGCAATGGATGGCTACAAGCTGTACAGAAAGAACAGGCAAGAAAAGAGGGGCAGTGGTGTATTTCCCTCTGTCAGTGTTTCAGTGTTGTTGAGCTCAAGGCTGGGAATGACAAGGTAGAATGTCTAGGGGAAAGTATCAGGGGAGGGCAAAAAAGGCTGATGTCCTGTTGGGGTCTGTTATAGACTGCTTAGGCAGAATAAAGAGATAGATGAAGTGGTCTGTGAGCAGCTGACAGAATTTGTGCAATCACAAGCCCTTTTTCTTGTGGGGGACTTCAACTTCCCTGACATATACTGGAATTACAGTGCAAACACTGGAATGCAGTACTGCAACAGAAGCAGTCTAAGAGGTTTCTGCAGATAACTTTCACAGCCTACCAGGGGAGGTGCACTGCTAGACCTGCTGTTCACAAACAGAAAAGGACTGGTGGGAGATGTGGAGCTTAGGAGCTGTCTTGGACAGAGTGACTGTGAAATGGTAGAGTTCTTGATTCTTAGTGAAGTCAGGATGGGGGGCCAACAGAACTGCTCCTTGGACTTCTGGGGGGTGGCCACTGAACTGTTCAGGACCCCTGGCAGGGAAGATCCCTTAGGATTCAGTTCTCAAGGGTAAAGGCATCTGGGAATGCTGGATGCTCCTCAGGAAGGAAGTCTTAAAGACACAGGAGCAGACTGGCGGGGAAGAAGACATGCTTGGATGAATGCGGGATGATTGGACTGGATGATCTTGGAGGTCTTTTCCAATCTTGGTGATTCTATGATTCTTAGCTGTATTTGAATTTCACTGAACAATTTCTTATGGTTTTTTTGCATTTCTGTTTTTTTGGTGCAGACCACTTGAAATTTTGGAAGTCTTCAATGGATTGTTTTCTCTTACACTGTTAAAACTTCCTGAAACTTCCCAGCTTGAACTGAAATGTCCATGACCTAACATTTTATCAAACAATCTTTTAAAGACCACTTAGGAAATAAAAGTAGCTTTCTATCTTTTCAGTAGAAGGAATTTATAGGTATTTTTTTGCTATAGGAAAAATATGCCTTGTGTGAGTCTGGTTTTCTTATAATGTACAAGAGTTTTCCCATATTTAAACATTCTGTCTGTGTGCCCACTGCCTTTAGATTCTGGAGCTTAGGCAAATTTGCCTAAATTTGATTAAAAGAGGTGCATGCTAGGTGAATGTAAATGAGTAACTAAGTGGAGGAAGAAGACTTCAGTGCTTCAGTGCTAGAAATATGCACTGAAACAGTGGGGTAATCCCCGTGGAAAAGAAAGGAAACTTGACTGTCATTGAGACAACATGTAATATAAGGCTTAAAAAACATAAGGCTTTCCTGCTTCTTCTTTGATGGGATTACTTCTGCTTTTTGTGTGCTTTTTGTTTTTATTTTGTTTTTAAATTAAGAACCAAGACATAAAGTAGACCGTTTTAGGAAGATGAGAGCAACAGCACAGTTGAGCTCAGTCATG